AGTTAAGAGAAAGCGCGTTTATGTTTACATTATACACGGTCGACTAGCCCCAAACGAAAATTTTTAAATACCGGAATATATTATTAAAATTATTCTAAATACCGCGCACGTTTCCGTGTTTTTAATGTTTAAATAAATGTACTATTGTTTAAATATTACTTTATTTTATCCCACGTACTCGAAAGATTGTTTAAATAATTATAAATTACCGAAAGTATTAATTTATAAGTTCTCGCGTTTAGAAAAAAAGATTCACGTGTTCACACGTCGGAGTGCAAGAGAGAACTAACTTGTAAACTGTCAAAGTTAAGAGAAAGCGCGTTTATGTTTATATTATACAAGGTCGACTACCCCGAAACGAAAATTTTTAAATACCGGAATATATAATTAAAATTATTCTAAATACCGCGCACGTTTCCGTGTTTTTAATGTTTAAATAAATGTATTATTGTTTAAATATTACTTTATTCTATCCCACGTACTCGAAAGATTGTTTAAATAATTATAAATTACCGAAAGTATTAAATTATAAGTTTTCGCGTTTAGAAAAATAGAATCACGATGTTCACACGTCGGAGTGCAAGAGAGAACTAACTTGTAAACTGTCAAAGTTAAGAGAAAGCGCGTTTATGTTTATATTATACACGGTCGACTACCCCGAAACGAAAATTTTTAAATACCGGAATATATAATTAAAATTATTCTAAATACCGCGCACGTTTCCGTGTTTTTAATGTTTAAATAAATGTACTATTGTTTAAATATTACTTTATTCTATCCCACGTACTCGAAAGATTGTTTAAATAATTATAAATTACCGAAAGTATTAATTTATAAGTTCTCGCGTTTAGAAAAAGAGAATCGCGATGTTCACACGTCGGAGTGCAAGAGAGAACTAACTTGTAAACTGTCAAAGTTAAGAGAAAGCGCGTTTATGTTTACATTATACACGGTCGACTAGCCCGAAACGAAAATTTTTAAATACCGGAATATATAATTAAAATTATTCTAAATACCGCGCACGTTTCCGTGTTTTTAATGTTTAAATAAATGTACTATTGTTTAAATATTACTTTATTTTATCCCACGTACTCGAAAGATTGTTTAAATAATTATAAATTACCGAAAGTATTAATTTATAAGTTCTCGCGTTTAGAAAAAGAGATTCACGTGTTCACACGTCGGAGTGCAAGAGAGAACTAACTTGTAAACTGTCAAAGTTAAGAGAAAGCATGTTTATGTTTATATTATACACGGTCGACTACCCCGAAACGAAAATTTTTAAATACCGGAATATATAATTAAAATTATTCTAAATACCGCGCACGTTTCCGTGTTTTTAATGTTTAAATAAATGTATTATTGTTTAAATATTACTTTACTTTACCCCGCGTACTTGAAAGATTGTTTAAATAATTATAAATTACCGAAAGTATTAATTTATAAGTTCTCGCGTTTAGAAAAAGAGAATCGCGATGTTCACACGTCGAAGTGCAAGAGAGAACTAACTTGTGAACTGTCAAAGTTAAGAGAAAGCGCGTTTATGTTTACATTATACACGGTCGACTAGCCCGAAACGAAAATTTTTAAATACCGGAATATATAATTAAAATTATTCTAAATACCGCGCACGTTTCCGTGTTTTTAATGTTTAAATAAATGTACTATTGTTTAAATATTACTTTATTTTATCCCACGTACTCGAAAGATTGTTTAAATAATTATAAATTACCGAAAGTATTAATTTATAAGTTCTCGCGTTTAGAAAAAGAGATTCACGTGTTCACACGTCGGAGTGCAAGAGAGAACTAACTTGTAAACTGTCAAAGTTAAGAGAAAGCGCGTTTATGTTTACATTATACACGGTCGACTACCCCGAAACGAAAATTTTTAAATACCGGAATATATAATTAAAATTATTCTAAATCCCTCGCGCGATTTCGTGTATTAATGTTTAAATAAATGTACTATTGTTTAAATATTACTTTATTTTATCCCACGTACTCGAAAGATTGTTTAAATAATTATAAATTACCGAAAGTATTAAATTATAAGTTTTCGCGTTTAGAAAAATAGAATCACGATGTTCACACGTCGGAGTGCAAGAGAGAACTAACTTGTAAACTGTCAAAGTTAAGAGAAAGCGCGTTTATGTTTACATTATACACGGTCGACTACCCCGAAACGAAAATTTTTAAATACCGGAATATATAATTAAAATTATTCTAAATACCGCGCACGTTTCCGTGTTTTTAATGTTTAAATAAATGTACTATTGTTTAAATATTACTTTATTCTATCCAACGTACTCGAAAGATTGTTTAAATAATTATAAATTACCGAAAGTATTAATTTATAAGTTCTCGCGTTTAGAAAAAAAGATTCACGTGTTCACACGTCGGAGTGCAAGAGAGAACTAACTTGTAAACTGTCAAAGTTAAGAGAAAGCGCGTTTATGTTTATATTATACAAGGTCGACTACCCCGAAACGAAAATTTTTAAATACCGGAATATATAATTAAAATTATTCTAAATACCGCGCACGTTTCCGTGTTTTTAATGTTTAAATAAATGTATTATTGTTTAAATATTACTTTATTCTATCCCACGTACTCGAAAGATTGTTTAAATAATTATAAATTACCGAAAGTATTAATTTATAAGTTTTCGCGTTTAGAAAAAGAGATTCACGATGTTCACACGTCGGAGTGCAAGAGAGAACTAACTTGTAAACTGTCAAAGTTAAGAGAAAGCGCGTTTATGTTTATATTATACACGGTCGACTACCCCGAAACGAAAATTTTTAAATACCGGAATATATAATTAAAATTATTCTAAATACCGCGCACGTTTCCGTGTTTTTAATGTTTAAATAAATGTACTATTGTTTAAATATTACTTTATTCTATCCCACGTACTCGAAAGATTGTTTAAATAATTATAAATTACCGAAAGTATTAATTTATAAGTTCTCGCGTTTAGAAAAAGAGAATCGCGATGTTCACACGTCGGAGTGCAAGAGAGAACTAACTTGTAAACTGTCAAAGTTAAGAGAAAGCGCGTTTATGTTTACATTATACACGGTCGACTAGCCCGAAACGAAAATTTTTAAATACCGGAATATATAATTAAAATTATTCTAAATACCGCGCACGTTTCCGTGTTTTTAATGTTTAAATAAATGTACTATTGTTTAAATATTACTTTATTTTATCCCACGTACTCGAAAGATTGTTTAAATAATTATAAATTACCGAAAGTATTAATTTATAAGTTCTCGCGTTTAGAAAAAGAGATTCACGTGTTCACACGTCGGAGTGCAAGAGAGAACTAACTTGTAAACTGTCAAAGTTAAGAGAAAGCATGTTTATGTTTATATTATACACGGTCGACTACCCCGAAACGAAAATTTTTAAATACCGGAATATATAATTAAAATTATTCTAAATACCGCGCACGTTTCCGTGTTTTTAATGTTTAAATAAATGTACTATTGTTTAAATATTACTTTATTCTATCCAACGTACTCGAAAGATTGTTTAAATAATTATAAATTACCGAAAGTATTAATTTATAAGTTCTCGCGTTTAGAAAAAGAGAATCGCGATGTTCACACGTCGGAATGCAAGAGAGAACTAACTTGTAAACTGTCAAAGTTAAGAGAAAGCGCGTTTATGTTTACATTATACACGGTCGACTACCCCGAAACGAAAATTTTTAAATACCGAAATATATAATTAAAATTATTCTAAATCCCGCGCGTGATTTCGTGTTTTAATGTTTAAATAAATGTACTATTGTTTAAATATTACTTTATTCTATCCCACGTACTTGAAAGATTGGTTAGATAATTATAAATTACCGAAAGTATTAATTTATAAGTTTTCGCGTTTAGAAAAAGAGAATCGCGATGTTCACACGTCGGAGTGCAAGAGAGAACTAACTAGCCATCAACTAGTCGTCAAAGTTAAACGAAGGACCGCTTATGTTTATATTGTACAAGGTGAACTACCCCGAGTTTAAAATTATTAAGTTTTGGAAATTTATTTTAAAATATTTTTTGTTTCTGGGTCGTTCTCGTCATTTTAATGTTTAAACAAATGTACTATTGCTTAAATATAATATTATTCTATACCGTGTACGTTAGAAATTTTTTAATCAATTAAAAAATTACCGAATTTATTAATTTGTACGTTTCTGCCTTTAAAAAGATTAAGTTTTGATGTGCACTCGTCCGAGTACAACCGAAAACGAACTCGCTAATCGTCAAAGTTACTCGAAGAACCGCTTATGTTTATATTGCACAAGGCCAACTACCCCGAGTTTAAAATTATTAAGTATTGGAATTTTAAATTGATGTTATTTTAAATTCCTTGCGCATTTCCGTATTTTTAATGTTTAAACGAATGCAATATTATTTAAAAATTAGTTTATTTTATTACGTGTGCATTAAAGATTGTTTAAATAATTTAAACGCTATAGAAAGTATTAATTTTATAAATCCTCGCGTTTAGAAATAGAGTGTCTCGATGTACACTCGTTGGAGTCCAAGAGAAATCTAACTCGGTAGTTGTCAAAGTTAAGAAAAAGTGCGTTTATGTTTATATTACACAAGATCTACTACACCGAGATTAAACTTTTTAAGTAGTGAAATTATAAATTGAAATTATTTGAAGTTTCTCCACGTTTCCGTCTCTTTAATGTTTGAACGAATGTACTATTGCTCAGATAAAGACATACGTACATTGTGTCAACGTTGCAAGTATTTAAAAAAATGAGTATTAAAAAATGTATCATATTTAATAAATACATATTTTATATTATTAGTGTAATTCAGCTCGAGATTATGCTTCCTCTTAAGAACAATTTATTGTAGGCTTAAGACAAAATAATATTCCTAAACATAAGAAACAATTAGACTTAATATTTATTGTTCATTGTTTACTTAGATCAGATTAAAATAAATCATCAATTAAAATAAATATTGTACAAATCATATATATTTATTAAAAATACGTAATTTTTTTGTTTAAACAATTTCATCAAACATCAAATCTTTCAAAACAAAGTGATTGACCTTCTTCTTCATATTCTTCCCTTGTTACAAGAAGACTAGAAAATATTGGATCTTTTGATAATGCTTTCCCACCATGCCATGCATAAGTGATTGGACTGTAAATAAAAAATATTTTACTTAGAAAATTTATTAAAATTTTCTACTATAATACGTAAATAATAACAGAATACACAAAATACTTGCTTCTCTGGTGAAAAAACATTTATCATATAATCAAAGGGTGCAAGACTTCTAACTTCTTTAAATACTCTGTCTCGAAAACCTGGAAACTTTGCATTTCCACCTGTAAGCACTATGTTAGACAAAAGATGTGGCCATGTTTCTTCTTCACAAGCTCTCAAACAATCTATAATAGCTTCAGGTATACCCATTTGTCGAATACCAACATCAGATGGATGAAAAAGAATTTCAGGTATCGCAAATCGTTCATTGCTCAAACGTACTGCTTGTTGTTCATTAGAAACCTCTGGATTTTTAAGAAAGCCACGTCGCAATGTTGTATAATCTGGTAAAACATAATCCTTAACAATGTCATTATTTTCTAACTTTTTCTTAGCAGATTCCATGTCTTTATAAAAATCTTGTGATACAAAACAAGAATCTTCTTTTGCTTGATTTATTACATATGTTTCATCCATAACATGTAATTGTCGATAAGATATTATTTCTTTCAAATGATTTGTAAGAAGTTTTCCACCCACATCTATTCTTCGTATACCTTCCTTAATTTTGATACCATTTACATATGGCACAATATGTGTAAAACTATATCCAGTGTCAACTACTATACAACATTTCGTTCCAGATCTTTCACTTCTATGATTGTAACACGAAAGGCTACTTGTATTTACCCTAAGAAGACTATGACATTCATATTCTTCAAAAAAGATTTCAGTCATGGCCTCTTGAATACTTGCAAAATTAAATGGCGGTTCGGTTATTATCACAGAAAGTTGATTTAAATTAACAGGACAACATTCTTTCGAAAATATATAATCCCAGACAGTTTTTTGAATATCCCAATTTACAAGATATCCTTTCTGAAATGGTAAAATATAAAATAGTCCAGAAGCATCTCTACATTCTTCTATTTGATTTCCTATGAAAGGTCTTCGACGTTCACTTTTTGCTTTCATTATACAGTTAGGAACTATTCTGCAAATATTAAAAAATTAAATATTATTAATTATGAATATAACAAGCATTATTGTTTATTTCATAAACATAAAGTTACTTTGGATTTTCTGTAGAAAGTCCAACTTTGATTGTATATGCTCCATTGTCAAAAATGAATGCAGGGTTAGTCATTTTGGTTGACATAATTAGTCCAATTATGTCAAATTATATAATATTTCTCCGTTTTCATTAATATTTGATATCGTCAATCTAATACTTATCACTGATTATATTCAAAATAATAATATAAACGAACTATAGTTTTCTATAGTTGGTACTTAGTGTGAAATAGCCAAGTTATCGTTCCTGTTTTAATTTAACGCGGGAAAATCAAAAGACTATATTTATATTAATATAAATCTATATAATTCTGATCTATATATATGATGTTTAATATAATATTTTAGTTTTTATTGAGACACATTAAGAATGCGTAATAAATTTATATTTGTATTCCTTCCTTTTTTATTTTCTAATTAAATATTTTTTGTGACCCATTAGATTCTTAAAATCCATAACATCGATGTGTAACCTTAAAAAACAATTAGTTGAAAATCAAATACAGATAATTAACCGATTAAGAAATAATTCAGAAAACATTAGAATATTTTTAATCTATTATTATTTCTCTTATTTTTGCATAAATATTTAAAGCATTTCATTTTCCCTCGAGAATGTATATCGTTTATCGGAATATCGATTATTTTACAACAAGAATTAAGTACACGTTATCATGAAATAAGTGTTACTTGAAATTAAAATATATGCAAGACTTGCATTTAAAGAGAGATCGAATATTTATTGAATCTATTAATTATATGATTTTTTCATTATAACTGTGTTTTCAAAGTATTTACGTGTTATGTAAACATTGCGTTTATCTGTCATTATATATATTTTTGGTGATGCTAATATTATAAACATCACCGTATGATATTTTACTTCTTTAAATTATCATATATTAAAAATTGAACTTTGTATTTTCAAAGATTCTTTTTCTGTAGTTACCAAGAAAAGACATTATTAACATTGAGAGATTATTTGTGATCTTTGGTGAAAACAAAGAAAAGTAATAAAATATCTAAAAATGCAACAAAATAATGAATTGATTGATTTATTGGAGCAAAGAAGGAAAGATTCTGATTTTTCATGGGTTTCTAGACTCATGAAAATACAAATGCCTCATATGCTACCACCAGAATTAAATTTATCTAGAAATCAAATAATAAATACAGTATTAAATAGTCCACGCATAAAAGAAGTGATTAGTTATTTAGCAAAAAGTCAAAATGTTTATACATATATTATTGAACGAAAAGCTTATGCCATTTTGCAGGAAATGGCAAGTAAGGCTCATTTACCTACAGTTCGTTGGCTAGGTATATTCTATTCATTTTTAATATGAACATGTTAAAAGATAAAATATTGAACATGTAATTATAATTATTGATTAAATTATTTAAAATTTTAAATATTTTTTCTTTATCTAGGTTTCTTTATTATTAAAACTTTGAAGAAGATCTTCTGCAACCTTTATATAAATGAAAGAATGATATTTAATTTAAAAAAACAAATGTCTAGTTTTCAAGTACAATATATATATGTACCATCACATAGAAGTTATCTGGATTTTATTTTACTATCATGTATACTCTTTAATTACGATATGTCATTACCAAATATTGCAAGTGGGATGGATTTTTATCAAATGAGATTTATTGGAGAAATATTACGTAAAACTGGAGCATTTTATATGAGACGTAGTTTTTCTAATGATTTATTATATAAAGAAATTTTTAAAGCATATGTTAGCTATCTTGTAAATCATAATGATAGAGCAATTGAATTTTTCATCGAAGGTACTCGTAGTAGAAGTCAAAAAAGTATTGAACCTAAATATGGTAAATATTTTTTTTATTCTACAGTGAAAATATGTTATTAGTGATATATTATTATATATTTATATATATTAATATATTTAGGTTTCTTATCTGTCATTTTGGACACTTATCTTCAAAGTACTGTACCTGAGATTCAGTTTCTTCCAATTAGTATCAGTTATGATCGCCCACTAGAAGAAAAATTATTTGTCTATGAACTACTAGGGGTGCCAAAGCCAAAAGAAACAACAACTGCTTTCTTGCAATCTTTGCTTATGTTAAAAAATCATGTTTCTTATGGATCAGTATTTTTCAATATTGGCGAACCTATTTCTGCATCACAATATATAACATCAAAGGATCGTAAAACCAAGATTATAAATCCTGATTATAAATTACCATCAACTATTATAGAAAACTTAGCATATGACATAATATATACTCATCAAAAAAATACGATTCTTACAACTTTTAATATAATTGCTTTGTTGTTTAATGAAAGAGTGCAAACGTATCCTGCAAATCCATACACTCTTCAAACATTGGCAGAAGATTACAAATGGTATAAAAACTGGCTCTTATCATTAGGAGCTACGATTCATCCTTCAATTGAGAAGTAAATATTATTTTATTTTTTCTACAGTTTTCCTACAAATAAAATTATATATTACTTTTTTTTTTTAATTTAATAATTTCTTTGTTACAGTATGACTACAGATGAATTATATAATGAAATATTAGTATCACTAGAAACACATTCAGAATTGCTTACATTAGATGAATCAAAAATGTTGAACTTAAAAAATATGTATGTAGAAATGAAATCAGAAAACTATACAAATATAAAGGGACATAATTTGAATAAACGTACTATGGAAGTAGCTGTACCAGCTATTAATTTAACTATTTATGTAAATCCTACTTTATTTTTTCTTGCAAAATTAGGGATTATTACTGCAACAGTTGGATTAGACAGTATTCATATGGGTAACTTTTAATTGCAATATTGCTAAATCGACAAGTAAACATAAATTTATTTTATCACTTTTTATATTTTCAGACAAAGCCTTTGAACGATATGTTCTACTAAGAAAATTATTAAGTACAGAGTTTGCATTATTTTTAAATGCAAGTTCTTCTGTAATTAATTTAGAATGGAAAAAATCAATTGATATTTTAGTGAAAGAAGGCTGTTTATATATTCAGAATGATTTAATTACAGGACAGAAAACTGCATTGTTTTCTCTTCTACATAATCTTATATTACCATTTATTGATGCAGCGTGTTTTACCTGTACTACTTTATTAAATGTAAGAACAAGAAACATATGTCTTATATTGAATACAATACTATTTTAATTTTTAATTTTTTTTTTTATTATAGTGGAATGAATCGGTATTGGGTACTATAACAAACCAAAAAGTATTGAAAGAATGTCAGAAGCAAGTAGAAATTGCATTATTTGAGGAAAAAAATTCTCGTCCTCATCCATACTGTTTAGCACTTGATCTTTTTAAATCTACATTGTCTAATCTTTTACAACAAGGTATTGTTGTAACATCTGATAAAGAAGATATTTATTTTGTAGATAAAATACAAATGGAATATCTTATTTTAAAATTACACCAACTCCCATTACTACATCCTTTGGGATTTTATAGTGATATTTCTTTATCACCATTAAATACTTCCGTACATATACAAGCAAAATTATAAAAATATATGTATTATATATTCACAAAATTTATACTGTTTTTGGACATATCTACATGTTCATTTTTCGATTCTCTTATAATCAATTATGTACAATTGTGTAGTAGACGTATTAGAGTATAACTTATTATTAATACTTTAGTAATATATTAAATGTTTATACTTACAAATACAGCTTAAAAATGACTTATTTATACATTAAAATGGATATAATTTGTATCATTACATGTTTGTATTTCTTATAAAAATATCATTAAATATTAGAAATGAAATTATCCACATTGCGAAGAATTCTTGCCGTTTCTTCATTAAATTCTTCTAATGATCTCTTTTTCTTACCAACAAGTACAGTGGGAATAGTACCTTGAGTTCCATTATTTCGAAAAAGAAGCTAAAAGTTTATGAGAATTATCCTTATTTTTTTTATACATTTGAAATGTGCCTTATAATTTCATTAAAAATCAACTTACCATAACTAATCTAACCAAATAGACAGCAAATGTAAGGAATGAAATAGCCATTAATGCACCTTCTAAAGAAGGAAAACCTAATCCATGATCTTCATAATCATCATGATCATAATGATCACTTCCTCTTTTTATGCGATTTGGATTTATAAATCTTATGAGTCTAGATTCTATGCAAAATTAAATGTGATATTGATAAGAAAATTTTTCTATATATATATATACACTTAATATTTAATTAACTTAAAAGATTAATATTAACAAAGTGAATAATCTATTTATAATTCACCTATTTCAAGCGATAATATCTTTTCAAATGATTTCAGAAATTGGAGTTTGCCTTTTATACTTGATGGTTGAGATTTTAAATTTTTATGAACATTTTTTAATATTTCAGTTGGTAAATACATTAGAAAGGTATTTTTATCTTCTTTCAAAGTTTCATTTAAATTTTTATTAGACAATGGTAATTGTTGTTTGAGTATAGCTTCTTTAGTATCATACATTTTTGTATCTGGTATATGTTCCTCTAATTTTATTGGATCGGATTCAATCAATAATTTATCCTATAATATATTTCAAATATTTACTTTAATTTATTTAAATAATAATGTGATATAAACGAAAGCATCTAAAAATATATTTTTTAAATAGAATTATAAAGTACAATATTTCACGTAATTGTTTCTTAAAAAATGCGGAATTTAAATTATACTTCTTACCATTTCATAACTATTATTTTTTATGTCACAATTATTCTCGACAATATAATCAGTAGATACGTTTGTAAAATATTTCTCTGACCCAGTATTTAATTCTGTTACTGATAATTGAGTTATATTTACATCCGAATTGTGTGTTAATGGAATGTTTATATCTGGTTGTTTTTCATAAATCGTACTGTTTTCTTCCTTATGAAAAAAATTTTTATTATCGTCATTTCGTATAAATTTATATTCATAGTCACGATTAGAAAAAGGAATTCTATGAAAATTAAAACAATATCAGAAATGAATTAGAACAACTATACATATTTATTGTATTGTAATACAATACAATATATATAAAATGTACATTATAAAGTAATATAATACACACCTGTAAACTTTCTTTTCATCTGAGAACTCAGGAATTTCGACCCATTCAGCTTTAACATTTTTTCCAAAATATAACATTTCAAAAATTATAATATAATACATTATCATCTTAGTTTTATTTCCTGCGTTATTTAACTTTTGGAATAGTTAATTTTTTTATTTTTTTTAATTTTTTATTTTTTTTATAAAAACCTTATTATAAATACAAAAATCGTATTTGAGTTGGTTCTTTAAGTTCTGTTAGAAGTGACGATTTAAATCTAACTAACGACAAGTAAGTGTGACATAGGACACGCACGAAATAACTAATCGCTTAAGCTATTATTTCCAGCAGGAGTTCTGTTAGAAATAAGAAGGAAATGGAAGTTACATTTTAATACCTCTAAAAAAGTATATTGTATTATTCATATCAAAACTAAATTATCATAATAATATCAATGATTATAATAATGATAAAATGATATACTAAAAGTGATATATCAAATATTAAAACAAATTGCTTTAATAAGCATTTTCTTTGATTATTCACTATAAAACGTTCGGTTTATTTATACTTTCCTTTCATCTTTAATGTCTAGTTAACTTTTTTTATGAGTAATATTTAAATATTTACAACTACAAAAAGAATTTTACAAAATATTAAAAATACCAAAATAAAAGAAATATAGTAAAATATTACTAGTAACACAATTCTATAGTATCACAAGGAATCCATTTGGAACTTTCTAAAGCATCCCATAAATTGTAATCTTGTTCAATTATTTCCCTATTTAATTTATCAATATCCAAAGGAATAGAATGTTCTGAAAATAATAAAATCAATAATTAAAAATAATATACATGTTATTTATAAAAGAATGTATACAAATTCTTTCTTAATGATACACATACCAATTAATTCTAATTCATCTTCTTCTGGTTTTTGATCAGAAACATAACTATTATAGGCATCTGATGTTGGCTCACTTTCATAATAACCTTGCTGCCAGGCACTGTAACTGTTCCAATAAGAGGAAGTATCATAATAATTATATGCTTCAGAATTCATGTTCGATGGTGCATATTCTGAAGATGATTGAGGTGGTGTTGATCTATATATAGGAGAACAATCATTATATAATTATTTTTTATAATAAAAATTTTTTTTAAAATTTATTCTCACATCTTATTCCAAGGTCTTGGCACAGCATTACAAATTTTTAGAGATTTTGTTCCTAATCCTCTATATCCATTCATCGTCACCAAACTATTTTTCTGCTCTTCTTCGTTTGCAAATCTTACAAAACCATAACCTTTACTAAATCCTGAACTATCTAATATTACTTTAGCCGTTCTAATAGAGTTATATTTTGCAGCAAATGCTCTATACAAAGAATAGTCATCTACATCTGTGGATAAATCTCCTACCCAAATACTGAACTCTCTGTCAGCAGCAGGTTTACCAGTAGTGCTCGCATGATTTAAACGAAACCTCACAGTCTACAATTCAGAACAAATTTTTCTAATTAATTAAACAAAACCCAAAAAAGATTATCTTATGACATAATTATCTTATGACAAAGAACTTAATAATTTATATATTATATTATCCAAAATTCTTTCAAATACAAACAGGATTTGACCCAGGAATTGCTTTGCCATTAAGCTTATGCATAGCATCCAATGCCATTTCATCCGTTGGAAAGTGTACAAAACAATAACCAGCAGGTTCACCAGTATAACGATTTCTCATAACTTTTACGGTTTGAGGCTGTTCTCCCATTTTATGAAAGGCATTCATAATGAAACTTTCGGTCATGTATGGCTCAAGCTATAAAAAATATTTTAATTTTAATTTTAATTTTGAATATAGAAAATTTAGAAATTTATTCAAATATAGATGCTGTAACATAGTATATAAAACATATTTTAAATAAAAAGTTTTAATACAAAATTTTATATATATATAAAATACTTACGCCACCCATCCATAGTTGACACAATACCATTGGTCCTGACGACATAATCTTATTTGCAATAAACAAAAAATAATTCGTTTAATACAATTGATAAATGTCAATATATTGTAAATTATTATTTTCTTAATTCTGTTTACACATAACCTAATTGTTTCTTCACCTTTGTTAGAATAAGTTAAATGATTAAATAAACATACATAAGAACTCTCTATAAAACAAATATATTATTTAATAAAAATGTCTCGTTTTTGACTTTATCGATTTTTATACTGATATTTATTACGATTTATAATACTGTTTACTAATATTTTTTATTTCCTTTAGAATGCTTTGAAGATAAAAAAAGTTCTAAACTAGTCATAAAGGAGAGGCAATATTATCAAATAAAAATCACTAGAAAAACAATGAGAGTTCACATTGGAAGATTGTTTAGTATATAAAACATTTAAATATGATCGAATAACATCACGTCTTGTTAATGTAAATTTTTTTTCATTTTTTAAATCTTGAGACATTTACATATGTAATTTCTAAATATATATATATGTATATATAAATAAATATTTCTCAAAAAATATAAAGTCTAATTAGAAAAAAATTTGTTAGCTTGGTTTTTATGCTATGTCGATAGTTGATTCGACTTTAAATATTTTCGATATAATAATTTGATTTTGTATGTTTAGAGATATCAATGATTAGATATGTAGTATATATGATACTGATCAAAAAATCAGATCAATATTCTAATGATGCATCGGGAGTTGAAGGTGATTCAAGAGCAACTTCTTCATAATCTCGTTCGAGTGCCGCAAGATCTTCTCGAGCTTCTGCAAATTCTCCTTCTTCCATACCTTCTCCTACGTACCAATGAACGAAAGCTCGTTTGTTATACATTAGATCAAATTTATGATTTAATTTAGCCCAAGCTTCTTCAATAGCTGTAGTATTAGATAACATGGATACTGCACGTTGAACCTATATTATTTTTTATATATCTCAAATTTAATCCTTTTTTTAAATTAAATACAGAGAATAATAAGGGAGAGGGTAAGTTACGATTCAAGAAATAAGAAAAATAAAAAAAAAGAACAAGTTGACATAATCGTTCGTTTAATTCGTTTAATACCTTAGCCAAGTCTCCACCAGGTACTACAGTTGGTGGTTGATAATTAATACCAACTTTAAAACCAGTTGGACACCAATCGACAAAACGTATGCAACTTTTCCCTTTCATTGCAGCAATCGCAGCATTAACATCTTTTGGCACGACATCGCCGCGATATAAGAGACAACATGCCATGTATTTTCCTTCACGTGGGTCACATTTCACCATTTGATTGGTAGCTTCGAAACATTCAGATGTAATTTCAGCGACGGTCATTCCTTCGTGAAAAGCTTTATCAACAGATACTACGGGTGCATAGGTAGCAAGAGGAAAATGTATTCTCGGATAGGGTACTAAATTTGTTTGAAATTCAGTCAGATCTACATTCAATGCTCCATCGAATCTTAAGGATGCTGTTATGGAAGATACAACTTGGCTAATGAGTCTATTTAAATTTGCATAAGATGGTCTTTCTATTCCTAATTTGCGTCGACAAATATCATAAATAGCTTCGTTGTCGACCATAAATGCGCAATCTGAATGGCTAATCGTTGTATGTGTTGTTAAGATTGCATTATAGGGTTCTACAACAGCAGTAGAAACCTGAAATTCAAAGATTATCAAAATTGCATAAAAATGCATAACACGTTATATCGATATCAAATAATAATAATGATGATGATGATAATAATAATAATAATAATAATAATAATAATAATAATAATAATAATAATAATAATAATAATAATAATAATAATAATAATAATAATAATAATAATAATAATAATAATAATAATAATAATAATAATAATAATAATAATAATAATAATAATAATAATAATAATAATAATAATAATAATAATAATAATAATAATAATAATAATAATAATAATAATAATAATAATAATAATAATAATAATAATAATAATAATAATAATGAACATACTTGAGGCGCAGGGTATACAGCGAATTCTAATTTACTTTTTTTCCCATAATCGTCCGAAAGCTTTTGCATGAGTAAAGAGGTAAAACCGGATCCTGTACCTCCTCCGAAAGAATGAAATACAAAAAAACCTTGCAATCCTGTACACTGATCCGTCAGCCTTCTAACTCGATCCATTACGGATTCGATAACTTCTCTACCAATGGAATAATGACCTCGAGCATAATTATTTGCTGCATCTTCTTTCCCAGTGATAAGTTGTTCTGGATGATACAAGTGTTTATAAAGACCAATGCGGACTTCGTCTAAAATAAATAAATTAAAAAAAAAATCCAATCAAAATTATAATCCTGATTTTTGTTATAATAATCATATTTGGAAACGATATTTTTAAGAGATCTAACCAACGACGGTTGGTTCAAGGTCAACCATTACAGCTCTTGGAACCATTTTACCAGAACTTGTTTCATTGAAAAAAGTATTAAAACAATCATTCGTCCCGGTAACTTTATCGGAAGGCATAGTACCGTCTGGTTGAATTCCATGTTCGAGACAATATAATTCCCAACATGAATTTCCCATTTGCACTCCTGCTTGACCAACGTGCATTGATATACATTCACGCTAAAAGAGAAAAAAAATTCAATTATATGTAAATGTTCTCTTTAACTTTAATAGCTTATTATAAATTTTATTATTTGCAATATATAAAAAAGTTTAAAAAATATGGAATTCGTATTATAAATTTTATAATATTAGATGAATTAGAATAAGAAAAAAGTGTATATATAGTTAATACATGGCAAATCTATTTTGTATATATATCTATATATAAACCTACCATTTTTATAATTTTTGATATTCCGTTTATAGTGTAGAAAAGTAAAAAAAATATAATGGTTTTGATGCAATTATAAACTAAGCGATTTTGTATAAATTAAAACGTGAAATTTTGAAACGGCCGCGAACTGCTTTGAAAAAAGATTACTGATTGATTTCAGTTGCCTAGGTGACCATTGCATAAAAAAGAAGTCAAAGATATATGTACGTTGTTTTATTTATACATTCTTAAGTTTGTTTTTCAAACGAAAGATTAAGGTTTATTTAAATATTAATAACATGATAATAAATGAAATCAACGAATAATAAACGAGATATTGATTATATTTTGATTAACATTTAAATTCAATCTACTATTTATAAAAGAATGACCAATCAGAGTACTTTGATAACGTAGTAGTACTTTGAAATGAAATGTAATGGAACTTTTTTTTCCTAGTTATCTTTTCTTACGACATAATGTCGTTATTTATCATTGAGCATTTCTACAAAACAGTAAAGTAATGATGATGTAAGATAATATTCATCAAAAAGTTTTACAAATTATTATAAAGTGATAATCAAAGGATATATATAAAATTGAAATTGTTATTTAAAAATAATAAATAGCGATTATGTTGCCACCAACTTATGTTGAAGGTTTCCATGATTTAGAATCAGTTAAATTAATGGAATATAAAAAGCTGAATAATTTATTAGTTAGTAAATTGTCTTTTGGTGGTGGACCACTTGGTTGTCATTATGGGTAAAATAATAATAAATTATAATATTTTGTGAAATTTTTTTTCTATTTAGCTTAATTAACGCTACATTTATTGGCAGCAATTATGATGAAAATGAAGCAATTGAAACTATACGACAAGCTATAAAAGAAGGTGTAAATTATATTGATACAGCGCCATGGTATGGACAAGGGAAGTCAGAAAAAGTAATCGGGAAGGTAGAAATATATTTTCAAAAAAATATTTACTCCTTCTGTGATTATTTCTAATGTATTCATTATTTGGATGGCAGGCATTAAAAGGAATTCCTCGTCAAGCTTATTACATTGCAACAAAAGTTGGAAGATACGAGTTAGATTTTAAAAATATGTTTGATTTTTCAAAAGAAAAAACAAGAGATAGTTTTAAAAACAGTTTGAATAATTTAGGATTAGATTATGTTGATGTTATTCAGGTAAACATTTATTCAGGTATCGCAAGTTATTATATAATATTTCAAAACAAAACTTTTTAATATCTTATAGGTTCATGATATAGAATTTGCTCCATCGCTTGACATAATAATTACACAAACTTTACCAGAACTATCAAAGCAAGTTGCAGAAGGAAAAGCTAGATATATTGGTATTACTGGCTATCCACTTTCTGTTCTAAAAGAATGCATAGAGCAAAGCAATATTAATATTGCATGTGTGCTAACTTATTCCAGATTTACTTTACTAGATGATACTTTAATGCAGTTCATACCATTTTTTAAGGTTTAAATTTTCACTCAAAAAAAGTTTAATTTTTAGAATGATAATGATATTATCAGAAAATTTTCAATATTATAGAAATATAACATTGGTATAATTAATGCGGCCTTACTTGCTATGGGTCTTTTAACAAATAATGGTCCTCCAGATTGGCATCCTGCTAGTAAAGAAATGAAAAAGATTTGTAGTGATGTTGCACAATATTGCAAGGTTATTATTACCAGTTTTGATCAGATAAAATTAAGCAACAATTATAAATACATATTTATGAATAAAAAAATATTATTGATATCTTTAATTAGGATAATGATGTAGAAATAAGCAAATTAGCTGTATGGTATGCTATGCAATGCGAAGATATAACTACAAACTTAATTGGTATTCAAAATATACAACAATTAAGAATGAATTTCAACGTATTAAGAAACGGCATTACAGAAAAGGAAAAAGCAATATTAAAAATAATTCAAGAGAAGTAAGTGATAATTACTACGATAAATGATCTTTTTCAAAGAAGAGAGAACAATTAACTATCTATTAATAAATTATTTCAGATATCTAAATCAGATCAAATGTAAACATTGGGAAAACAAAGAAATTGAAACATACTGGCAGGCTATGAAGAAGTAAAAAATATTTTTATTTGTTTATTATATGTACATATATATTTTATAATAAATAAGAAAATAGAAAAAATAAATCTAGAAATACTACTTATACATTTGATTTAATTATTTAAGAATACGATCATATTTCAATTGTTTCAAGGTGTCTATACATAAATTGTATCTGTAGCAAAGAATTCATCATTACTAATATATCTCAATTGATATGTTAATTCAATAAAAGATAGTATCACTGATGTTCTATGAAGAAGTTTTTTATGATGCAAATAGATTTCAAAATTTTGTTTAATAAATAGTTCTCTAGCCGCTTTTCTATGTACTGAAATGATCACATTAATACATCTATATCTTCGTTGACTGCCATATTCCAGAGCTACATTCACGAGATTCATTCCTATGCCTTTCCTTCTATAGTCTTTATGAACACATAATCTTTTTATCCAACCAGAATTTTGTAATCTATTATTTTTACACAATCCAATAGTACCAACAATTTTTTTAACATATTTAGATACATTAATATTAGATTGTTTAAATTTTTCCTGTGTCATGAATTTATATCGCTGATCTCTTTTCTGACGATTTAATGAATAATCTTCATATAATTCCGCTACCCAAAAATGAGAAGAATTATCTGACATGTAAATCCTGTTTATAAAAATATATATTTTCATTTTAAAATCATAATCTTAACTAAATAAGAAGTAATAAGAACAAACAAACAAAATAAAACAAAACAAAAAAATAATTCAGAATGTAATACCGTAAAATCTGAGATACTTCTTCTTGAGCCTTTTTAGCACCAATCCAGAAATTTATATATGTTATAATGTATACTACAATCAGCTTTGTAAGCATACCTATAACATAGAAATGAGCAGGTACTCCTGATAACAGAAACGTAATTAAAATAACAATAATTGTTGCAATTAAAGTAATGTCTGTAAACAAAAGCCTAAAGAATGTTCTGTTCATATTTTCCATTATGCTATTTTTAAGTAATATTTTGCAAAACGGTTGATCTCTTCGTTTGTAAGGACGTAGAACTACAAAACTACTCATATTGAGAAATTATATAAAATATTTCCAAATACACCAAAAATACACATCTATATGTATGATAAAATAGCTTGGCTTTTTGAAAACTTAAATCCTAGATTTATAATAGACAAAATCGTTAATAACTATTGAAATTTTTAATTAATTACAGTATATATATATGCTGAGGTTAGGATCCAGGGTGACCTCACATAATATGATATTGTTTATATGTTTATAACGTTTATATCTTAGATGAAAATATTTTCAATTTGTAATCTTCAAGAAGTAGAAAATAATATTATTTAGAGTAGAGATAGTATCCAGAAATAATTTTAACGAAATTTCTTATGCAAAAATGATTTAATAACATTTTATTATATTTATATTAATATTATGATTAAGTACACTTGAAACCATTTAAAAATGTTATAAGATCTACCAAAAAAGAAGGTAACCATCAAGATTTTTCAGATTTTTCATCCTCTTCAGGTTGTGCATCCAAAATATTAAATTTCTCTTCAGAAGGCGTTCTTGGACAAATCTGTTTCAGAAGAACATAAATGTCTTCCGGTGATATTTCCATCGCCAAAAGTTCTATTGCGATCCTAATATACGATGATAACATGAATATAATTTCATACAAATTTATATTCTACCAGATATGATCTTCATAAATATTAAAAAAAAAAAGTCTACTTTATAGGTTATATGAATTTATTGAAAAATGTATTTTGGAAATGTTACCGAAAAACACCAGGAGTCGTAGTAATTCCTGCCAAATCAGCAAGTGCAATTAATTCTGCTTGATGTGCCTGTGGGAACGTCATAATATTGGCTAAATGTTGTAGAATTACAGAATCGTAATAATTTATTTCTGTTTACATACAAAGCAGACGATACTTCAATAATTATGTCATCCATGTCGAGAACAGTAACGCAACTAGGTTTGAATCAAACAGGTATGCAGTACTCGATAGATCAATCGAAATTTAATATTTTCTATTTTATCGACAGAACCCAGGGAAAATCTATTTTGTTACTCAATTAATTTTTAAATAGATCGACAATGTGATGCCAAAAATGATAGTGTGACAAGGATAATCGAAAAAAAATCATAGCAACTGTTGATGATTTATATGGATTATGAAATATAATAATTTTTTTTAGTAATTTGAAAATTATCTACAATTTCTAATCTATTAAAATTATGTTTTAGTATCTTCATTTATTATTTATATGACTTAAGGTAGTTAATTTTTTAAGTTATTTATAAACTAAACGATTATTCATTTAACCCCTGTTCATTATTCTTATTATGTACAATAATATTGATCAGCCTTAATTCATTTTCTTTAAAATGATTATATATAATAAATACTAGATATTAAACGCTATTCTATTAATAAATTATTTCAAATATTATTGACCTAAATAAGATCCAAATGTAAACATTGGGAAATAAGGAAATTGAACAATATCGATATCCTCTAAGGAGTTAAAAAAGGAATTACAGATTTTTTACAATGCCTTAACTCTTATATATTTTACAAAAAATTATAATATACGAAAACTAAATATAAAAATATTATTACTACATTTGATTTAAATATTTAAGTGCGATAAATGATTCAATTTGACACAGATTGTACGTTATATGGATTTGTAACAAATAATTCATTAGGCTTAAAATACTTCGTTCTATATGATAATTCATGATATATTATTGATGTATCATATGGTGTGCCACGTACCAAAATTTTATGGAAACCTCTGTTAATAAATAATTTTATAGCATTTAATCTATATTCTGAGATAATTACATGAATAGTAATAAATCCTTTTTCAGTGCCAAATTGCAGAGCTCGATTCACAAGATGATTTCCTATACCTTTCCTTCTATAGTCTTTATGAACACATAATCTTGTTATCCAAGCACCATTAGGTATTTTACTGCTTTTATAGAATGCGATAGTACCTACTACTTTTTTTTTATGCCTAGATACATCAATATTAGAATTATTGAATTCTTCTTCTGTCATGAATATACGTTGCTCATGTTGCTGATGACGATTCAATAAATGAAATTCATATGATTCCGCTACCCAAAAATGAGAAGTATTATCCGACATATAAATCCTGTTTATAAAAATATATATTTTTATTTTAAAATCATAATCTCAATTAAATAAGAAGTAACAAAAACAGACAAACGAAATAAAATAAAACAAAAAGAAATAATTGAGAATGTAATACCGTAAAATCCCAGATACTTCTTTTTCCATATATTTAGCTTCCTTGAAATACATTACGTATAAGTAGATGTATAAAAAAATTGGTGCAATTAATATAAATATAAGAAAATAAATAATAGGAAAGCCATCAATTAGGCTTACTAATGAAATCAGTAAAATCACTACATTTATTGATATAAAAATAGATTTTTTTAATAAATATCCAATAAATGTTGCATTTAGCGGATCCATTGCATCAGCTTTTAGTAACTTCTTGCAAAATGGTTCATCTTCTTTTCTATAAGTTCTAATAAGAACAAAATTATACATATTGAGAAATTATATAAAATATTTCGAATCAACCAAAAATACACAATAAAATTTGTTGATCTTTTAGAAATTCCAGTTCTACGTATATAATGTATAACATACTAAGTAACTGACGAAATTCTAATTATTCTCACTATATATATATACACTGAGGTCATGCATCGTAATACATATAATAATGTATTGTTTATATGTTTATAACGTTTCTATCTGAAACGATAATATTTTCAATTAAAAATTTTTAAACCGAAAGAAATAGTACTAGTTAGAGACACAATATCTGGACATGTTATCAATAAATTTTTTTTTATGAAAAAATGACTTACTAACGTTGTTTTATATTTATATTAATATTATGATTTAGTACACTTCGACTCATTTAAACACGTTATAAGAGCTATCAAAAAAGAAAGTAACAAACAAGATTTTTCAAAATTATCACCTTCCTTCAATTACGGATCCGAAATATTTATTGTTGTTCTTTAGAGATCGTTCTTGAACAGATCTGTTTCAGAACATAAATATCTACCGACGATATTTTTAACGCAAAAATTTCTATTGCTAAAATACTGCTAATATACAATGATAATATGAATATGGTTTTATATAAATTTATATTTCGCGGGATATAATCTCGGGATATAAATATTAGGGGGACCGAAAAGTAACGTCGCTTTCTTAAATTAAATTCAAACGAATAAATTGTTAATAAGTTTTTATTTTTAAACGCAATCAAATATCGACATGCGCAGAAACAACATTACTTTCCGGTCCACCTAATATATAAAAAAGGTATATAAGTTATACGAAATTATTAAAATTTTAAAAATGTTACCGATATACCAAATGAGTCACGGTAATACCATATAAATCTACGATCGCAATTAATTTCGTTCGATACGCATTATAATATTGTCTAAATGTTGTAGTGATACAGAGCAGTAATAATTTATTTCTGTTTACATACAAAGCAGACGATACTTCAATATTTATCTATTATCGACGTCGAGAATAGTAACGCAACTAGGTTTGAATCAAACAGCTATACAGCACTCAATAGATCAATCGAAATTTAATATTTTCTATTTTATCAACAGAATTCAAAGAAAATCTATTTTGTTACTCAACTAATTTTTAAATAGATCGACAATGTAATGCCAAAAATAATAGTGCGACTAGGATAATCGAAAAAAAATCATAGTAACTGTTGATGATTTATATGGATTATGAAATATAATAATCTCTTTTACTAATTTGAAAATTATTTACAATTTCTAATCTATTAAAATTATGTTTTAGTATCTTCATTTATTATTTATATGACTTAAGGTAGTTAATTTTTTAAGTTATTTATAAACTAAACGATTATTCATTTAAGCCCTGTTCATTATTCTTATTATGTACAATAATATTGATCAGCCTTAATTTATTTTGTTTAAAATGATTATATGCAATAAAAATTGGATATCAAATGCTATTCTATTAATAAATTATTTCAAATATTATTGACCTAAGTTAGATCCAAATGTAAACATTGGGAATTAAAGAAATTGAAAAATATTGATATCCTCTAAAGATGTAAAAAAGAAAATTACGGATTTTTTGCAGTGTCTTTTCTCATATATATTTTACAAAATATTATAACATACAAAAAATAAATATAAAAATACTATTACTACATCTGATTTAAATATTTAAGTGGGATGGATGATTCAGTTTCGCACAGATTTAACCTTATATGGACTTTTAACATATAATTCATTAGGCTTAAAATACTTCGTTCTATATGATAATTCATGAAATACTACTGATGCATTATATGATCTGCCACGTATCAAATATCTATGGAAACCTCTGTTATAAAATAATTTTAAAGCAGCTAATCTATATTCAGAGATAACCACATTAACAGTAATAAATCCTTGTTCAGTGCCAAATTGCAGAGCTCGATTCACAAGATGAGTTCCTATACGTTTCCTTCTATAGTCTTTATGAACACATAATCTTGTTATCCAAGCACCATTAGGTATTTTATAGCTTTTATACAATGCGATAGTACCTACTACTTTTTTTTTATGCCTAGATACGTCAATATTAGATTTATTGAATTCTTCTTCTGTCATGAATGTACGTTGCTCATGTCGCTGATGACGATTCAATAAATAAAATTCATATGATTCCGCTACCCAAAAATGAGAAGAATTATCCGACATATAAATCCTGTTTATAAAAATATATATTTTTATTTTAAAATCATAATCTTAACTAAATAAGAAGTAACAAAAACAGGCAAACGAAATAAAGTAAAACAAAAAGAAATAATTGAGAATGTAATACCGTGAAATCGCAGATACTTCTTTTTCCATATCTTTAGCTTCATTGAAAAATGATACATATAAGCAGATGTATAAAAAAATTGGTAAAATAAATATAAACATAAGACAATAAACAACAGAAAAGCCTTTTAATAGGGATATTATTGAAATCAATAAAATCACTATATTCATTGAGATAAAAACAGGTTTTCTCAATAAATATCCAATAAATGTTGCATTTAGCTGATCCATTACACCAGCTTTAAGTAACTTCTTGCAAAATGGTTCATCTTCTTTTCTATAAGTTCTAATAAGAACAAAATTATACATATTGAGAAATTATATAAAATATTTCGAATATACCAAAAATACACAATAAAATTTGTTGATCTTTTAGAAAGTTCAGTTCTACGTATATAATGTATAACATACTAAGTAACTGTCGAAATTCTAATTATTCTCACTATATATATATACACTGAGGTCATGCATCGTAATACATATAATAATGTATTGTTTATATGTTTATAACGTTTCTATCTGAAACGATAATATTTTCAATTAAAAATTTTTAAACCGAAAGAAATAGTACTAGTTAGAGACACAATATCTGGACATGTTATCAATAAATTTTTTTTTATGAAAAAATGACTTACTAACGTTGTTTTATATTTATATTAATATTATGATTTAGTACACTTCGACTCATTTAAACACGTTATAAGAGCTATCAAAAAAGAAAGTAACAAACAAGATTTTTCAAAATTATCACCTTCCTTCAATTACGGATCCGAAATATTTATTGTTGTTCTTTAGAGATCGTTCTTGAACAGATCTGTTTCAGAACATAAATATCTACCGACGATATTTTTAACGCAAAAATTTCTATTGCTAAAATACTGCTAATATACAATGATAATATGAATATGGTTTTATATAAATTTATATTTCGCGGGATATAATCTCGGGATATAAATATTAGGGGGACCGAAAAGTAACGTCGCTTTCTTAAATTAAATTCAAACGAATAAATTGTTAATAAGTTTTTATTTTTAATCACAATCAAATATCGACATGCGCAGAAACGACATTACTTTCCGGTCCACCTAATATATAAAAAAGGTATATAAGTTATAATTATTAATATCTTAAAAATGTTACCGATATACCAAATAAGTCACAGTAATACCTTATAAATCTACGAGCGCAATTAATTTCGTTCGATGTGCATCATAATATTGACTAAATGTTGTAGCGATACAGAACCGTAAAAATTTATTTTTGTTTACATACAATGCACACGATACTTCGATATTTATCTGTCATCCATGTCGAGAACAGTAACGCAACTAGGTTTGAATCAAACAGGTATGCTGTACTCGATAGATCAATCGAAATTTAATATTTTCTATTTTATCGACATAACCCAGGGAAAATCTATTTTGTTACTCAATTAATTTTTAAATAGATTGACAATGTAATGCCAAATTTGATAGTGCGACTAAGATAATCGATAAAAATCACAGCAATTATTGATGATATTATTTCAAATATTATTGACCTAAGTTAGATCCAAACGTAAACATTGGAAAATAAAAAAATTGAAAAATATTGATAGCCTCTAAAGATGTAAAATAGAGAATTACCGAATTTTCACAATGTTTTTGCTCTTATATATTCTAAAAAAAAATTATAACATATAAAAATAAACATAAAAATACTATTAACACATTTGATTTAAATATTTAAGTGTGATGAATAGTTTAGTTATCCGGTATAGATTATACATTATGTGGGTTTTTAATAACGTGGACGATAATGCGTCGTTCGATATACATACTCATAAAACGCTATTAACATAAAATGCGATTTACTATGTATATTATGCATATTGAAACCTTTTTTTATAAATAATAGTATTGCTCCTATTCTATATTCTGAAATAATCACATTAATATATTCAAATCCTTGTTCTTCGCAAAATTGCAAAACTCGATTCACAAGATGACTTCCTATACCTTTTCTTCTATAGTCTTTATGAACACATAATCTTTTTATCCAACCAGAATTTGGTGACCTATTACAATTATAGAAAGCAATAGTACCTACAACTTTTTTGATATGCCTCGATACATTAATATTAGATTCATTAAATTTTTCCTCTGTCATGAAAATATATCGCTGATTTTGTTGATTATTTAATGAATAATCTTCATATGCTTCCGCTATCCAAAAACAGGAAGAATTATCTGATGTGTAAATCCTGTTCATAAAAATATATATTTTCATTTTAAAATCATAATCTTAACTAAATATGAAGTAATAAGGACAAACAAACAAAATGAAACAAAACAAAAAGAAATAATTAAAAATGTAATACCATGTAATCGCAGATGCTTCATTTTCAACATTTCTAGCTTCATACAAAAAAGTTGCATATAAAAAAATGTAAAAAATAATTGGTGGTATAAATATAAACATAACACAATAAATAATAGGAAATCCTACTACTATGAGTGCCAATGTAAACATTACAATTGATGCATTTATTGCATTAATAGCTCCTTTCCTAGTTAAAAATGCAGTAAATGTTGCATTTAGCGAATCGATTATACCAGCTTTAAGTAACTTTTTGCAAAATGGTTCATCTTCTTGTCTATAAGATCTAATAAGAATAAAATTAGACATATTGAGAAATTCTATAAAATAGCAACTAAAAATATACAACTATAAGAGCGATAAAATTTTTTGATCTTTTAAAAACTTAAGTTCTATGTTTATAGTGTATAAAACTGTAAGTAACTGTCGAAATATGTAATTAATGTCAAAGTATATATACACGCTGAGGTCATATATCGTATTACACATAATAACGTATTGTTCATATTTGAAACGAAAATATTTTCAATTAAAAATTTTTAAATTGAAAGAAATAGTACTATTTAGAGAGACGATATCCAGACAGGTTTTCAATGTCTTTTCTTATGAAAAAATGATTTAATAACGTTGTTTTATATTTATATTAATATTACGATTAATTACATTTCAAGTCATTTAAACACGTTGTAAGAGTTATCAAAAAGGAAAGTAACAAACAAGATTTTTCAAAATTATCACCTTCCTTCAGTTGCGAATTCGAAATATGTAATGTTGTTTCTTCAGAGATCGTTCTTAAATAGATCTGTTTCAAAACATAAATATCTTACGATGACATTTTTATCGTTAAAATTTCTACTGCTATTTATTGCTAATATACGATGATAATATGAATATGGTTTTGTATAAATTTATATTTTACGGGATATGATCTCGATAAATATATAAAAAAGTTATATAGGTTATATGAAATTAGTAATATCTTCGAAATGTTACCGATATACTCTACGAGTCATAGTAATACTAGATAAATCTACAAGGACAGCTAATTTCGTTCGATGCGCAACATAATATTGATTAAATTTTGTGAAAGTAAAGAACTATCAAAATTTATTTCTGCTTAGAAACAATCCACACGATACTTCAATATTTATCTATTATCGACGTCGAGAATAGTAACGCAACTAGGTTTGAATCAAACAGCTATACAGCACTCAATAGATCAATCGAAATTTAATATTTTCTATTTTATCGACAGAATTCAAAGAAAATCTATTTTGTTACTCAACTAATTTTTAAATAGATCGACAATGTAATGCCAAAAATGATAGTGCGACTAGGATAATCGAAAAAAAATCATAGCAACTGTTGATGATTTATATGGATTATGAAATATAATAATCTCTTTTACTAATATGAAAATTATCTACAATTTCTAATCTATTAAAATTATGTTTTAGTATCTTCATTTATTATTTATATGACTTAAGGTAGTTAATTTTTTAAGTTATTTATAAACTAAACGATTATTCATTTAACCCCTGTTCAATATTCTTATTATATACAATAATATTGAGAATCTTTAATTCATTTTGTTTAAAATGATTATATGCAATAAAAATTGGATATCAAATGCTATTTTATTAATAAATTATTTCAAATGTTATTGACCTAAGTTAGATCCAAATGTAAACATTGGGAAATAAAGAAATTGAAAAATATTAATAGTCTCTAGAAATATAAAAAAAGAATTACGGTTTTTTACAATATCTCTAGTCTTATATATTTTACAAAAAGCTATAATATACAAAAAATAAATATAAAAATACTATTAACACATTTGATTTATATACATTATACACATAATAAATATAAAACTACTATTAATACATAAAATATTTAAGTCTAATGGATAATTTAATTTTTTGGTATAGAATGTCCATTACGCGAATTTTTAAGCAAATGACTGAAAGTGCGTTGTTCGAAAAACATATTCATACATTGTAAGTTTAAATAAAAATGTGTGATCGCGTATAATTCTTACAGAGAAATCTCTCGTATTAAAAAAATCCATAACAACTTTTTGATATTGAGTAACAAGTACTTTAACACGTTCAAATCTGTATTCTTCGGCAAAATACAAAGCTCGATTCACAAGTTTTCTTCCAATACCTTTCCTTCTATAGTTTTTCTGAACATATAATCTTTTTATCCAACCAAATGTTGGTGTCCAATTACTTCTACAGAATGATATAATACCTACAATTTTCTTATTATATTCAGATACATCAATATTAGATTCAATCAATTTTTCCTCTGTCATGAATCTATATCGCTGCATTCGTTCATGACGATTTAATGTATGAACTTCATGAACTTCCGCTACCCAAAAACAGGAAGAATTATCTGGCGTGTAAATCCTATTTATAGAAATATATATTTTTATTTTAAAATCATGATCTTAACTACGAACTAAGAAAAACAAACAAACAAAATAAAACAAAAAGAGAAATAATTTAGAATGTAATACCGTGGAATCTCAGATGCTTCATTTCCAGCAATTTTGGCTTCATATAAAAACGTTGCATATAATGAAAGGTATAATACAATTGCTGGCATAAATATAACCATAATAGAATAACCCACAGGTATTCCTATATGTATGAGTATTACCATTAACACTATAGCTGCAAAAATTACTATACGCATAATATTTTGTCCTAATAAAAATCCAATATATGTATGATTTAGCGAATACATTACACTAGTTTTAAGTAATTCTTTGCAAATCGGTTTATCTTCTTCTCTATAAGTTCTAATAAGAATAAATTTCCGCATATTGAAAAATTATATAAAATATATTGAATCAACCAAAGACACACAATAAAATTTGTTGATCTTTTAACAACTAAAGTTCTACGTATGAAGTGTATAAAATTTTAAGCAACTGTCGAAATTCTAATTATTGTCACAGTATATATATATATATATATATACACTGAGGTCATGCATCGCACTACACATAATAGCGTATTGTTTATATGTTTATAACGTTTCTATCTGAAACGTAAATATTTTCAATTGAAAATTTTTAAACTGAAAGAAATAAAATTATTTAGAAAGATATCCGAACATGTTTTCAATAAGTTTTCTTATGAAAAAATGATTTAATAACGTTGTTTTATATTTATATCAATATTATGATTAAGTACAGTTCAAGACATGTAAATACGTTATAAGAAAGTAACACAAAATTTTTCAAAATTTTCATCTTCCACTACGGTAGTGAATCAGAAATATTCAATATTGTTTCCTCAGAGGTCGTTCTTGAATAGATTTGTTTAAGAGCAAAAACATATTCCGATGGTATTCTTATAGTTAAAAGTTTTACTGCTATTTATTGCTAATATACGATGATAATGTAAATATGACTTTATATAAATTTATATTTCGCGGCATATGATCTCGATAAATATATAAAAAAGAGTATATAGGTTATACGAAATTATTAATATCTTAAAAATATTATCGATATACCCTATGAGTCACAGTAATACCATATAAATCTACGAGCGCAACTAATTTTGTTCGGTGCACACCATAATTTGAACTAAATGTTGTGAGAATAAAGCACTATAAAAATTTATTTCTGTTTGAATACAATCCACATGATTTTTCAATATTTAACTAATATCCATATCGAGAATATTAACGCAATAATATAACGCAATTAACGAGAATATTAACGCAAAATGTTGGAATTAAACAGCTATGCAGTACTCGATAGATCAATCGAAATTTAATATTTTTTATTTTATCGACAGAATTTAAGGAAAAACTATTTTGAAAATCAATTAATTTTTACATAGAATGACACTGTATGACAGAAATGATAGTGCGGTTAAGTTAGTGGATAATAATCATAGCAACTGTTGATGATTTATACGGATTATGAAATATAATAATTTCTTTTAATAATTTGAAAATTATCTACAATTTCTAATCTATTAAAATAATGTTTTAGTATCTTTTTTTTATTGTTTATATGACCTAAGCTTGTTAATTTTTTAAGTTTTAAATCAAACGATTATTCATTCATTCACTGTTCATTATTCTTATTATGTACAATAATATTGATCAGGTTTAATTCATTTTCTTTAAAATAATTATAGGTAATAAATACTAGATGTTAAACGCTATTCTATTAATAAATTATTTCAATTATTATTGACCTAAATAAGATCCAAATGTAAACATTGGGAAATAAGGAAATTGAAAAATATCGGTAGCTTCTGAGGAGTTAAAAAAGAATTACAGATTTTTTACAATGCCTCTACTCTTATATATTTTACCGAAAATTATAACATACAAAAAAATAAATATCAAAATATTATTAATAAATTGAATTTAAATATTTAGATGGAAGATTTAATTTTTTGGCATAGATTGTGCATTACATCAATTGCTAAATATCTAAATGAGTAGGCCTTGTTCGAAATACATATTCATAGAATGTAATTGATATTAATGTTGATTGATCACGTACAATACTTACACTGAAATTTCTCGTATTAAAAAAATTCATAACATGTTTTTGAAATTGAGAAACAGTCGCTTTAACACATCCAATTCCGTGTTCATGTGCGAAACGCAGAGTTTGATTCATAAGTTGACTTCCTATACCATTCTTTCTATAGTATTTCTTTACATAGAAATTTTTAATACAACCAAGTGTTGTATCCAGGTTATTTCTACAGAATGACATAATACCTACAATTTCTATATAATATTCTGATACATCAATATTACATTGAATCAATTCTTCCTCTGTCATGAATATATATGGTTGATTTTTATCCTGATCATTTAATGAGTAATCATCATATGCTTCCGCTATCCAAAAACATGAAGAATTATCTGATGTGTAAATCCTATTTATAGAAATATATATTTTTATTTTAAAATCATAATTTTAACGATGTATAAACTAAAAAAACTGGCACACAAAATAAAACAAAACAAAAGAAATAATTCAAGATGTAATACCGTGGAATTTCAGATACTTCATTTCCCACAAATCTGGCTTCATACGTAAACGCTATATATAACAAAATGTATAATACAGTTCCTGGCATAAATATAATCATACTACAATAAATCACAGGAAATCCTCTAAACAAGAGTATTATCATTAACAGTATAAATAATATATTTATTAGTCGTATAATATTTATTCTAAATAAAAACCCAAGAAATGTATGATTTAGCGAATACATTACACTAGCTTTAAGTAATTCTTTGCATACCGATTCATCTTCTTCTTTATAAGTTCTAATTACAATAAATTTCCGCATATTGAAAAATTATATAAAATATATTGAATCAACCAAAGGCACACAATAAAATTTGTTGATCTTTTAACAACTAAAGTTCTATGTATATAGTGTTTAAAATTCTAAGCAACTGTCGAAATTCTAATTATTGTCACAGTATATATATATACTAAGGTCATGCAACGTAGTACACATAACGGCGTATTATTTATATGTTTATAATCTATCCGAAACGAAAATATTTTCAATTGAAAGTTTTTAAATTGATAAAAATAATATTATTTAGAGAGATGATATCCGGATTTGTTTTTAATGAGTTTTCTTATGAAAAAATGATTTAATAACGTTGTTTTATATTTACATTAATATTATGACTAAGTAATTTCAAAGTCATTAGAACACGTTATAGGAGTTATCAAAAAAGAAAGTAACATACAAAATTTTTCAAAATTTTCCTTTCACCAGTAGTGGGTCAGAAATATTCAATATTTTCTCCTCAGAAGTCGTTCTTGAACAGATCTATTTCAGAACAAATATCTTCCGATGATATTTTTATCACTAAAACTTTTATTGCTATTTATTGCTAATATACGATTATAATATAAATATGACTTTATATAAATTTATATTATCGGCATATGATCTCAATAAATATACAAAAAAATTATATAGGTTATACGAAATTATTAATATCTTAGAAATGTTACCGATATACCCTATGAATCGCAGTAATACAAGATAAATCTACCAGCGCAACTAATTTCGTTCGCTGCACATCATAATATGAACTAAATACTGTGGGAATAAAGAACTATAAAAATTTATTTCTGGTTAGGTACAATCTACACGATACTGCAATATTTAGTTGTCATGCGTGTCAAGTAAATTAACGCAACTGGATTTTATTTAAACTATTTTGCAATATTTGATGGTTCAATCGAAATTATTATTTTTTATTTTATCGATAAAACTCATAGAAATTCTATTTATTAATTTAACTAATTTTTAAGTAGACCAACTCTGTAATGCTAGAAATAATGATAGTCCGTTTACAATAGTGGATAATAATCATAGCTATTATTGATGATTCATACGGATTACGAAATATAATAAGTTCTGATCCTAATTTAAATATTATCTACAATTTCTAATCCATTAAAATTGTTTTAATATTTTTTGTTAATTATTTTAATGGCCTTAGGTAGTGAATTTTTTAAAAGTTTTATATCAAATGATTATAAATTTAACCTCTCTTTATTATTTCTCTCATGTATAATAATATTGTGCAGCTTTGAATCATTTTGTACAATATGATTCTATGCAATAAATACTGGATGTCAAATGCTATTCTATTAATAAATTATTTCAAATATTATTGACCTAAGTCAGATCAAATGTAAACATTGGGAAATAAAGAAATTGAAAAATACTAATAGTCTCTAAAGATGAAAAAAGAGAATTACGGATTTTTTACAATGTCTCTGCTCATATATTTCACAAAGAGTTATAACATACAAAAAATAAATAAATAAATATTCTTAATAATTTTGATTTGAATATTTAGATGGACAGTTTAATTTTTTGGCATACATAGAACATTACGCGAATTTCTAATTATTTAAACTGGAATACCTTGTTCGAAATACATATTCATACAGCGTAATTGATACTAAAAATGTTTTATCACGTACAGCAGTAACAGCGTAATTTCTCGAATTATAAAAATTTATAATATGTTTTTGAAATTGAGAAACAATCGTTTTAACACATTCAAATTGTTGATCTTCGGCAAAATCCATAGCGTGATTCATAAGTTGAGTTCCTATACGTTTTCTTCTATAGTTTTTCTTTATATAGAAACATTTTAGACAACCAATTCTTGGATCCCAATTACTTTTACAAACTGACATAATACCTACAATTTCTTTATTATGTTTAGAAACATCACCATTATAATAATTCAATGTTTCCTCTGTCATAAATACATATTGCTGATCTTGTTCCTGATTATTTGCTGATAAATCTTCATATGCTTCGGCTATCCAAAAACGGGAAGAATTTTCGGGCGTAAAAATCCTATTTAAAGAAATATATATTTTTATTTTAAAATCATAATTTTAACAATGTACGGACTAATAAAAACGGGCACACAAAATAAAACAAAACAAAAGAAATAATTCAGGATTTAATACCGTGGAATCTCAGATACTTCATTTCCAAGAATTCTAGCTTCGTACAAAAATTTTGCGTATAATCCAATGTACAATATAATTGGTGGTACAAACAAAACTATACTACAATAACCCACAGGATATTCTCTAAGCATAAGTACAAACATAAACACTATAGATAATATATTTATTATACGCATAGCATTTACTCCCAAAAGAAATCCAATATATGTATGATTTAGCGAATACATTACACTAGCTTTAAGTAATTCTTTGCAAACCGATTCATCTCCTTCTTTATAAGTTCTAATAAGAATAAATTTCTGCATATTGAAAAATTATATAAAATGTATTGAATCAATCAAATGCACACAATCAAATTTGTTGATCTTTTAAAAACTTAACTTCTATGTATATAGTGTATAAAATTCTAAGCAACTGTCGAAATTCTAATTAGTGTCACAGTATATATATACACTGAGGTCATGCAACGTAGTACACATAATAGTGTATTATTTACATGTCTATAACCTTTCTATCTGAAACGTAAATATTTTCAAAGGAAAATTTTTAAACTGAAAGAAATAGTACTAGTTAGAGAGACGATATCCGGACATGTTATCAATGAATTTTTTTTTTATGAAAAAATGACTTACTAACGTTGTTTTATATTTATATTAATATTATGATTAAGTACATTTTAAGTCATTTAAACACGATATAAGAGTTATCAAATAAGAAAGTAACATACGAAATTTTTCAAAATTTTCAACTTTCACTAGTAGTAGATCAGACATATTCAATGTTGTCTCTTCAGAAATCGTTGTTCAACAAATCTCTTCCAGAACATAAATAACTTCCGATGATATTTTTATCGCTAAAATTACTACTGCTATTTATTGCTAATATACGATGATAATATGAATATGGTTTTATATAAATTTATATTTCGCGGGATATGATCTCGATAAATATATAAAAACGTTATATAAATTATTAATATACGAAATTATTAATATCTTAGAAATGATGCCGAATTAGCCTACAAATCACACTAATACCAGATAAATCTACGAGCGCAACTAATTTTGTTCGATGCACATCATAATATTAACTAAATGTAATGAGAATAAAGAACTATAAAAATTTATTTCTGTTTAAATCAATATTTATCTATAACCCATGTTGAGTATATTAATGCAATTAGATTTGAATTAAACCGCTATACAGTACTCGATAGATCAATCGAAATTTAATATTTTTTATTTTATCGACAGAACTCAAGGAAAATCTATTTTGTAATTCAACTAATTTTTGAATACAATGACACTGTAATGCCAGAAATGATAGTGCGGTTGAAATAGTGGATAATAATCATAGATATTGTTGATGATTTATACTGATTATGAAATATAATAATTTCTTTTAGTAATTTGAAAATTATCTACAATTTCTAATCTATTAAAATTATGTTTTGGTATCTTCATTTATTATTTATATAACTTAAGGTAATTAATTTTTTACATTTTAAACTAAATGATTATTCATTTAACCCCTGTTCATTATTCTTGTTATGTACAATAATATTGAGAAGCTTTAATTCATTTTGTTTAAAATCATTGTATGCAACGAATATTGTATGTCAAATTCTATTCTATTAATAAATTATTTCAAATATTATTGACCTAAATAAGATCTAAATGTAAATATTAGGAAATAAAGAAATTGAAAAATAATAATAGTCTTTAAAAATATAAAAAAGGAATTACATTTTTTTTTACAACATCTCTACACTTACATATTTTACAAAAAGTTATAATATAATAAATATACACAAAAAATAAATAAAAAATAAATATAAAAATATTATTAATAAATTTGATTGGAATATTTAGATGGACACTGTAACTTTTTACTATAGATAGAACAGTATGCGTATATCTAACTAATCTGATTGGAATGTCTTGTTAGATAAGTATATTCATACATCATAATTGTCATTAAATATGATTGATCTCGTATAATTTTTAAAGTGAAATTTTTAGCATTAAAAAAATGTATAACAACTTTTTGAAATTCATTAATAATCGCTTTAACACATTCAAATCTATATTCTTCGGCAAAATGTATAGCTCGATTTATAAATTGACGTCCTATACCTTTCCTCCTATACTTTTTCTGAACGTATAATCTTTTTATCCAAGCAACTGTTGGTTCCCAATTACTTTTACAGACTGACATAATACCTACAATTTTTTTATTATATTGAGATATATCAATATTACATTCATTCAATTTTTCCTGCGTCATAAATATATACGGCTGATCTTGTTCCTGATTATTTACTGATAAATCTTCATATGCTTCCGCTATCCAAAAACGGGAAGAATTAGAGGGCGTGCAAATCCTATTTATAGAAATATATATTCTTATTTTAAAATCATAAACTTAACTAACTACAAACAAACAAAACACACAAACAAAATAAAACTACACGAAAGAAATAATGCAGAATGTAATACCGTGGAATCTCAGACACTTCATTTGCAACAATTTTGGCTTCATACAAAAACTTTGCGTATAATGAAATGTATAATACAATTAGTGGTAAAAATATGACTATACTACAATAAGGATGTAATTCTCCCTGGATGAGTAATATGATTAACACTAGCGATAATAAATTTATTATACGCATAATATTTAGTCCTAATAAAAATCCAATAAATGTATGATTTAACGAATACATTACACTAGCTTTAAGTAATTCTTTGCAAACCGGTTTATCTTCTTCTCTATAAGTTCTAATAAGAATAAATTTCCGCATATTGAGAAAGTATATAAAATATATTGAATCAACCAAAGACACACAATAAAATTTGTTGATTTTTTAAAAACTTAGATTCTACGTATGGAGTGTTTAAAATTCTAAGCAACTGTCAAAATTCTAATTATTGTCACAGTATATATATACACTGAGGTCATGCATTGAAGTATACATAATAGCGTATTGTTTATATGTTTATAACCTTTCTATGTGAAACGTAAATATTTTCAAAGAAAAATTTTTAAACCGAAAGAAATAATACTATTTAGAGAAACTATATCCGGACATGTTATCAATGAATTTTTTTTATGAAAAAATGACTTACTAACGTTGTTTTATATTTATATTAATATTATGATTAAGTACATTTTAAGTCATTTAAACACGATATAAGAGTTATCAAATAAGAAAGTAACATACGAAATTTTTCAAAATTTTCAACTTTCACTAGTAGTAGATCAGACATATTCAATGTTGTCTCTTCAGAAATCGTTGTTCAACAAATCTCTTCCAGAACATAAATAACTTCCGATGATATTTTTATCGCTAAAATTACTACTGCTATTTATTGCTAATATACGATGATAATATGAATATGGTTTTATATAAATTTATATTTCGCGGGATATGATCTCGATAAATATATAAAAACGTTATATAAATTATTAATATACGAAATTATTAATATCTTAGAAATGATGCCGAATTAGCCTACAAATCACACTAATACCAGATAAATCTACGAGCGCAACTAATTTTGTTCGATGCACATCATAATATTAACTAAATGTAATGAGAATAAAGAACTATAAAAATTTATTTCTGTTTGAATACAATCTACACGATTTTTCAATACTTATCTATTACTCATATCGAGAATAGTAATGCAACTAGATTTGAATTAAACCGCTATACATTACTCGATAGATCAATCGAAATTTAATATTTCCTATTTTATCGACAGAACTCAAGGAAAATCTATTTTGAAATTCAATTAATTTTTAAATAGAATGACATTGTAATGACAGAAATGATAGTGCGGTTAAGATATTGGATAATAATCATAGCACCTGTTGATGATTTATACGAATCATGAAATATAATAATTTCTTTTACTAATTTGAAAATTATCTACAATTTCTAATCTATTAAAATTATGTTTTAGTATCTTCATTTATTATTTATATGACTTAAGGTAGTTAATTTTTTAAGTTATTTATAAACTAAACGATTACACAATTAACCCCTATTCATTATTCTTATTATATACAATAATATTGAGAATCTTTAATTCATTTTGTTTAAAATCATTGTATGCAATGAATATTGTATGTCAAATTCTATTCTATTAATAAATTATTACAAATATTATTGACCTAAATTAGATCGAAATGTAAACAATTGGAAATAAGGAAATTGAAAAATATCGATAGCCTCTGAGGAGTTAAAAAAAGTATTACAGATTTTTTACAATGGCTCTGCTCTTATATATTTTACAAACAATTATAACATACAATAAATTAATATAAAAATATTATTAATAAATTTGATTTGAATATTTACACGGACAGTTTAATTTTCTAGAATAGACAGAACATTACACGAATTTCTAATTATTTGAAATAAAATGCCTTGTCTTATATACATATTCATACGTCATAATTGATAATAAAACTGATTGATGACATAGAAGTTTTAACTCGAAACCTTTAGCATCATAAAAATCGATAAGAGCTTTTTGAAATTCATTAATAATCGCTTTAACACATCCAAATCCATGTTCATCAGCGAAATACATAGCTGTATTGATAAATTGACTTCCGATACCTTTCCTTCTAAACTTTGTCTGGACATATAATCTTTTTATCAAAGCACCTCTTGGTTCGCAACTGCATTTACAGACTGACATAATACCTACAATTTTTTTATTATGTTGAGATACATCAAAAGTACATTTATTCAAGTTTTCCTCTGTCATGAATGTATATTGCTGATCTTGTTCCTGATCCATTAATGAATGATGTTCATATGCTTCCGCTACCCAAAAACGTGATGAATCATCGTCCGTGAAAATCCTATTTACAAAAATATATACTTTTATTTTAAAATAATCTTAACTAACTACGAACTAACAAAAACAGACAAACAAAATAAAACTAAACAAAAGAAATAATTCAGAATGTAATACCGTGGAATCTCAAATACTTCAAATCCAACAAGTCTAGCTTCATACAAAAATTTTACATATAATGAAATATATAATGCAATTCCTGGTACAAATATAACCATAAAAGAATAAAACAAAGGTAATCCTGTATACATGAGTAATATCATTAACACTATAGTTGCAAAATATACTACACGCATAATATTTATTCCTAATAAAATTCTAATAAATGTATGATTTAGCGTATACATTACACTAGCTTTAAGTAATTCTATGCAAACCGATTCATCTTCATCATTATAAGTTCTAATAACTATAAATTTCCGCATATTGAGAAACTATACAAAATGTATTGAATCAATCAAAGGCACACAATAAAATTTGTTGATCTTTGAAAAACTTAACTTCTATGTACATAATGTTTAAAATTTTAAGCAACTGTCAAAATTCTAATTATTGTCACAGTATATATATAGACTGAGGTCATGCATTGAAGTACACATAATATCGTATTGTTTATATGTTTATAACCTTTCTATGTGAAACGTAAATATTTTCAAAGAAAAATTTTTAAACCGAAAGAAATAATACTATTTAGAGAAACTATATCCGGACATGTTATCAATGAATTTTTTTTATGAAAAAATAACTTACTAACGTTGTTTTATATTTATATTAATATTATGATTAAGTACATTTTAAGTCATTTAAACACAATATAAGTGTTATCAAATAAGAAAGTAACATACGAAATTTTTCAAAATTTTCAACTTTCACTAGTAGTAGATCAGAAATATTTAATGTTGTCTCTTCAGAGATCGTTGTTCAACAAATCTCTTCCAGAACATAAATAACTTCCGATGATATTTTTATCGCTAAAATTACTACTGCTATTTATTGCTAATATACGATGATAATATGAATATGGTTTTATATAAATTTATATTTCGCGGGATATGATCTCGATAAATATATAAAAACGTTATATAAATTATTAATATACGAAATTATTAATATCTTAGAAATGATGCCGATATGGCCTACAAATCACACTAATACCAGATAAATCTACGAGCGCAACTAATTTTGTTCGATGCACATCATAATATTAACTAAATGTAATGAGAATAAAGAACTATAAAAATTTATTTCTGTTTGAATACAATCTACACGATTTTTCAATACTTATCTATTACTCATATCGAGAATAGTAATGCAACTAGATTTGAATTAAACCGCTATACAGTACTCGATAGATCAATCGAAATTTAATATTTCCTATTTTATCGACAGAACTTAAGGAAAATCTATTTTGAAATTCAATTAATTTTTAAATAGAATGACATTGTAATGACAGAAATGATAGTGCGGTTGAAATAGTGGATAATAATCATAGCACCTGTTGATGATTTATACGAATCATGAAATATAATAATTTCTTTCACTAATTTGAAAATTATTTACAATTTCTAATCTATTAAAATTATGTTTTAGTATCTTCATTTATTATTTATATGACTTAAGGTAGTTAATTTTTTAAGTTATTTATAAACTAAACGATTATTCACTTAACCCCTGTTCATTATTCTTATTATATACAATAATATTGAGAATTTTTAATTCATTTTGTTTAAAATCATTGTATGCAATGAATATTGTATGTCAAATTCTATTCTATTAATAAATTATTTCAAATATTATTGACCTAAATTAGATCGAAATGTAAACAATTGGAAATAAGGAAATTGAAAAATATCGATAGCCTCTGAGGAGTTAAACAAAGAATTACAGATTTTTTACAATGCCTCTGCCCTTATATATTTTACAAACAATTATTACATACAATAAATTAATATAACAATATTATTCATAAATTTGATTTGAATATTTACACGAACAGTTTAATTTTTTGGAATAGACAGAACATTACACGAATTTCTAATTATTTGAAATAAAATGCTTTGTCTTATATATATATTTATACATCATAATTGAAAATAAAAGTGATTGACGACATACAATTCTTAAATCGAAACCTTTAGCATTATAAAAATCTATAAGAGCTTTTTGAAATTCAATAATAATCGCTTTAACACATCCAAATCCATGTTCTTCGGCAAAATACATAGCTGTATTCATAAATTGACTTCCGATACCTTTCCTTCTATAATTTGTCTGCACATATAATCTTTTTATCAAAGCACCTTTTGGTTCGAAATTGCTTTTACAGACTGACATAATACCTACAATTTTTTTATTATGTTGAGATACATCAAAAGTACATTCATTCAAGTTTTCCTCTGTCATAAATGTATATTGGTGATGTTGTTCCTGATCAATTAATGAAAGATCTTCATATGCTTCCGCTACCCAAAAACGTGACGAATTATCGCGCCTGTAAATCCTATTTATAAAAATATGTAATTTTATTTTAAAATAATCTTAACTAACTACGAACTAACAAAAACAGACAAACAAAATAAAACTAAACAAAAGAAATAATTCAGAATGTAATACCGTGGAATCTCAAATACTTCAAATCCAACAAGTCTAGCTTCATACAAAAACTTTAAATATAATGAAATATATAATATAATTCCTGGTATAAATATAACCATAATAGAATAAAACAAAGGTAATCCTTTATGCATGAGTATTAGCATTAATACTATAGTTGCAATATTTACTACACGCATAATATTTATTCCAAATAAAATTCCAATAAATGTATGATTTAGCGAAAACATTACACTAGCTTTAAGTAATTCTATGCAAACCGATTCATCTTCATCATTATAAGTTCTAATAACAATAAATTTCCGCATATTGAGAAACTATACAAAATGTATTGACTCAATCAAAGGCACACAATAAAATTTGTTGATCTTTGAAAAACTTAACTTCTATGTACATAATGTTTAAAATTTTAAGCAACTGTCGAAATTCTAATTATTGTCACAGTATATATATATATATATTGAGGTCATGCAATGTAGTACACATAATAGCCTATTGTTTATATGTTTATAACGTTTCTATCCGAAACGAAAATATTTTCAATTGAAAGTTTTTAAATTAAAAGAAATAATATTATTTAGAGAGATGATATTGGGATATGTTTTCAATGATTTTTCTTATAAAAAAATGATTTAATAACGTTGGATTATATTTATAATAATACTATGATTAAGTACTATTCAAGTCATTTAAACAAGTTATAAATTAAAAGTTATCAAAAAAGAAAATAACAATCAAGATTCTTCAAAGTTTTCACTTTCCATCAATTGCGAATCCGAAATATTTGATTTTGTTTCTTCAGAAATCGTTCTTGAACAGATCTGTTTGAGAACATAAATATCTTTCGATGATATTTTTATCGTTAAAATTACTACTGCAATTTATTGCTAATATACAATAATTATATGAATATGGTTTTATATAAATTTATATTTCGCGTGATATGATCTCGTTAAATATATAACACAGGTATATAGGTTATACGAAATTATTAATACCTTAGAAATGTTACCGATATACCTCATCAATCGCAGTAATACTAGATAAATCTATTGGTGCAACTAATTTCGTTCGGTGCACATCATAATATTAACTAAATGTAGCGGGAATAAAGAACTATACAAATTTTTTCTGTTTAAATACAGTCTACACGATTTTTCAATATATATCTAATATCCATATCGAGAATATTAACGCAACTATGTTTGAATCAACAGCTATACAGTACTCGATAGATCAATCGAAATTTAATATTTCCTATTTTATCGACAGAACTCAAGGTAAATCTATTTTGAAATTCAATTAATTTTTAAATAGAATGACATTGTAATGACAGAAATGATAGTGCGGTTGAAATAGTGGATAATAATCATAGCAACTATTGATGATTCATGCGGATTACGAAATATAATAAATTCTTATCCTAATATAAACATTATCTTCAGTTTTTAATCCATTAAAGTTATGTTTTAGTATCTTCTTTTATTATTTATATGACTTAAGGTAGTTTATTTTTTAAGTCTTAAAATAAACGATTATTCATTTAACCCGTGATCATTATTCTTGTTTTCAATAGTATTAAGCAGTTTTAATTCATTTTATTTAAAATCATTGTATGCAATAAATATTGTATCTCAACTTCTATTTTATTAATACATTATTTCAAATATTTTAGACCTAAATTAGATCCAAATGTAAACATTGTGAAACATATTGAAAAATAATAATAGCCATTAAAGATGTGAAAAGGGAATTACATTTTTTTACAACATCTCTACACTTATATATTTTATAAAAAGTTATAACATACAAAAAATAAATTTAAATATACTATTAATAAATTTTATTTGAATATTAATATGGACATTTCAATTTTTTGGCACAGATTGTACATTACGCAAATTTTTAATGATAATGCGTTGTTCGAAATATATATTCATACATCGTAACTGATATTAAAAATGATTTACCACGTAAAATTTTTACATTGAAATTTCTAGTATTATAAAAATTTATCAGAACTTTTTGAAATTGAGAACTAATCGTTTTAACACATTCAAATCTATGCTCTTCAGCAAAATGCGTAGCTTGATTCAGAAGTTGACTTCCTATACCTTTTCTTCTATACTTATTCTGAACATATAATCTTTTTATCCAAGCAACTGTTGGTTCTAAATTTTTTTTATAGACTGCTAAAATACCTACTATTTTTTTATTATGTTGAGATATATCAATATTACATTCATTCAATTTTTCCTCTGTCATAAATATATATCGCTGATCTTGTTCCGAACGATTTAATGAATAATCTTTACATTCTTCAGCTATCCAAAAACAGCAAGAATTACTGACCGTGTAAATCCTATATATAGAAATAAATTTTTTTATTTTAAAATCATGATCTTAACTAAGTACAAAATAACAAAAACAGACAAGCAAAATAAAACAAAACAAAAGAACGAATTCAGAATATAATACCGTGAAATCTCAGATACTTCATTTCCAACAATTCTAGCTTCATACAAAAACTTTGATAATAATGAAATATATAATATAATTCCTGGTATAAATATAACCATAATACAATAAACCACATAGAATCCTGTCTGAAGGAGTACTACCATTAACACTATAGATAATACATTTATTATACGCATCACATTTGTTCCTAATAAAAATCCAATAAATGTATGATTTAGCGGATACATCACACTAGATTTAAGTAATTCTTTGCAAACCGGTTTATCTTCTTCTCTATAAGTTCGAATAAGAATAAATTTCCGCATATTGAGAAAGTATATAAAATATATTCAATCAACCAAAGGGACACAATAAAATTTGTTGATTTTTTAAAAACTTAGATTCTACGTATGGAGTGTTTAAAATTCTTAGAAACTGTTAAAATTCTAATTATTGTCACATATATATATACACTGAGGTCATGCATTGTAGTATACATAATAGCGTATTGATTATATGTTTATAACGTTGCTATTTGAAACGTAAATATTTTTAAATGAAAATTTTTAAATTGAAAGAAATAGTACTATTTAGAAAGAAGATATCAAGATAAGTTTTCAATGAATTTTCTTATGAAAAAATTATTTAATAACGTTGTTTTATATTTATATTAATATTAAGATTAATTATTTTTCAAGTCATTTAAACACGTTGTAACAGTTATCAAAAAAGAAAGTAATAAACATGATTTTTCAAAGTTTTCCCTTCTCATCAGTTGCGAATTCGAAATATTTGATCTTGTTTCTTCAGAGATCTTTCTTGAACAGATTTGTTTAAGAACATAAATAACTTCCGATGATATTTTTATCGTTAAAATTACTACTGCAATTTATTGCTAATATACAATAATTATATGAATATGTTTTTATATAAATTTATATTTCGCGTGATATGATCTCATTAAATATATAACACAGGTATATAGGTTATACGAAATTATTAATACCTTAGAAATGTTACCGATATACCTCATCAATCGCAGTAATACTAGATAAATCTATTGGTGCAACTAATTTCGTTCGGTGCACATCATAATATTAACTAAATGTAATGAGAATAAAGAACTATAAAAATTTATTTCTGTTTGAATACAATCTACACGATTTTTCAATATTTATCTAACATCCATAACGAGAATAGTAATGCAACTATGATTGAATCAAACAGCTAAGCAGTACTCGATAGACCAATCGAAATTTAATATTTTCTATTTTATCGACAGAACTCAAGGAAAATCTATTTTGAATTAATTTTTAAATAGAATGACATTGTAATGCCAGAAATGATAGTGTAGCTAAGATAGTGGATAATAATCATACCAACTGTTGATGATTTATGGGGATTATGAAATATAATAATTTCTTTTAGTAATTTAAACATAATCTACAGTTTCAAATCTATTAAAATTATATTTTAGTATCTTTCTTTTATTGTTTACATGAGATAAGGTAGTTGATTTTTTAAGTTTTAATTCGAACAATTGTTCATTTAACCCCTGTTCATTATTCTTGTTATGTACAATAATATTGAGCAGCATTGATCCATTTTGTTTAAAATAATTATATGCTATAAATACTGGATGTCAAATGTTTTTCTATTAATAAATTATTTCCAATATTGTCAACCTAAATTAGATCCAAATGTAAATATTGGGAAATAAGGAAATTGAAAAATATCGATAGCCTCTGAGGAGTTAAACAAAGAATTACAGATTTTTTACAATGCCTCTGCCCTTATATATTTTACAAACAATTATTACATACAATAAATTAATATAACAATATTATTAATAAATTTGATTTGAATATTTACACGGACAGTTTAATTTTTTCGAACAGATTGAAAATTACGGTAATTTCTACTGAACTGAATGAAAATCCATTACACGAAACATATATTCATACAGCGTAATTGATATTAAAAATGATTTATCACGTATAATATTTACAGTGAAATTTTTAGTATTATAAAAACAAATAAGATGTTTTTCAAATTCAGAAACAATCGCTTTAATACATAGAATTCCGTTTTCATCGGCAAAAAATACTGCTTGATTCATAAGTTGATTACCTATACCTTTCCTAGAATACTTTTTTTGAACATAAAATCTTTTTATATAACCAAGTGTTGGTTGCCAATTACTTTTACGGAATGCCATAATACCTACAATTTTTTTATTATGATTAGAAACATCAATGTTACTATCATTCAAGTTTTCCTCTGTCATGAATACATATTGCTGATCTTGTTCCTGATCATGTAATGGAAAATCTTCATATGCTTCCGCTACCCAAAAACGGGAAAAATTATCGAGCGTGTAAATCCTATTTATAGAAGTATATATTTTTATTTTTAAATCATCTTAACTAACTACGAACTAACAAAAACAGACAAACAAAATAAAACTAAACAAAAGAAACAATTCAGAATGTAATACCGTGGAATCTCAGATACTTCATTTCCAACAATTCTAGATTCATACAAAAACTTCACGTATAATGAAATGTATAATATAATTTCTGGTATACATATAAGTACACCACAATAAGCTATAGGTACTCCTGCATATATGAGAATTATCGTCACCACTATAGGTAAGATATTTATTATACGCATAATATTTTCTCCTACTAAAACTCCAATAAATGTATGATTTAGCTGTTTCATTACACTAGCTTCAAGTAATTCTTTGCAAACCGGTTTATCTTCTTCTTTATAAGTTCTAATAAGAATAATATTTCGCATATTGAGAAATTATATAAAATATATTGAATCAACCAAAGGCACACAATACAATTTTTTGATTTTTGAAATACTTAAGTTCTACATATATGGTGTAGAAAATTTTACGCAACTGTGAAACTCTAATTATTGTTACAGTATATATATATATATATATATATATATATATATATATATATATATATATATACTGAGGTCATGCATTGTAATACACATAATAGCATATTGTTTATATATTTATAACGTTGCTATTTGAAACGTAAATACTTTTACGAAAATTTTTAAACCGAAAGAAATAGTACTATTTAGAGAGATGATATCCGGACATGTTTTCAATGTGTTTTCTTATCAAAAAATGACTTAGTAACTTTGTTTTATATTTATATTACTATTATGATTAAGTAAATTTCAAGTCATTTAAACAAGTTATAAGAATTATCAAAAAAGAAAGTAAAGAACAAGATTTTTCAAAATTTCTCTTCCCATCAGTTGCGAATGCGAAATATTTGATTTTGTTTCTTCAGAAATCGTTCTTGAACAGATCTGTTTGAGAACATAAATATCTTTCGATGATATTTTTTTCGTTAAAATTACTACTGCAATTTATTGCTAATATACAATAATTATATGAATATGTTTTTATATAAATTTATATTTCGCGTGATATGATCTCGTTAAATATATAACACAGGTATATACGTTATACGAAATTATTAATACCTTAGAAATGTTACCGATATACCTCATCAGTCTTAGTAATACTAGATAAATCTATGAGTGCAATTAATTTCGTTCGGTGCACATCATAATATTAACTAAATGTAGTTGGAATAAAGAACTATACAAATTTTTTCTGTTTAAATACAGTCTACACGATTTTTCAATACTTATCTATTACTCATATCGAGAATAGTAATGCAACTAGATTTGAATTAAACCGCTATACATTACTCGATAGATCAATCGAAATTTAATATTTCCTATTTTATCGACAGAATTCAAGCAAAATCTATTTTGAAATTCAATTAATTTTTAAATAGAATGACATTGTAATGACAGAAATGATAGTGCGGTTGAAATAGTGGATGATAATCATAGCACCTGTTGATGATTTATACGAATCATGAAATATAATAATTTCTTTCACTAATTTGAAAATTATCTACAATTTCTAATCTATTAAAATTATGTTTTAGTATCTTCATTTATTATTTATATGACTTAAGGTAGTTAATTTTTTAAATTATTTATAAACTAAACGATTATTCATTTAACCCCTGTTCATTATTCTTGTTATGTACAATAATATTGAGCAGCATTGATCTATTTTGTTTAAAATAATTATATGCTATAAATACTGGATGTCAAATGTTTTTCTATTAATAAATTATTTCCAATATTGTCAACCTAAATTAGATCCAAATGTAAATATTGGGAAATAAAGAAATTGAAAAATATCGATAGCCTCTGAGGAGTTAAACAAAGAATTACAGACTTTTTACAATGCTTCTGCTCTTATATATTTTACAAACATTTATAACATACAAAAAATTAATATAAAAATATTATTCATAAATTTGATTTGAATATTTAGACGGACAGTTTAATTTTTTGGAACAGATTGAACATTACCCTAATTTCTACTAATCTGAATGAAAATCCATTGATCGAAATATATATTCATACAGCGTAATTGATATTAAAAGTGAATTATCACGTATAATATTTACAGTGAAATTTTTACTATTGTAAAAATTAATAAGATGTTTTTCAAATTCAGAAACAATCGCTTTAATAAATAGAATTCCGTGTTCATCGGCAAAAAATACTGCTTGATTCATAAGTTGATTACCTATACCTTTCCTAGTATACTTTTTCTGAACATAAAATCTTTTTATATAACCAAGTGTTGGTTGCCAATTACTTTTACGGAATGACATAATACCTACAATTTTTTTATTATGATTAGAAACATCAATGTTACTATCATTCAAGTTCTCCTCTGTCATGAATACATATTGCTGATCTTGTTCCTGATCATGTAATGGAAAATCTTCATATGCTTCCGCTACCCAAAAACGGGAAAAATTATCGAGTGTGTAAATCCTATTTATAGAAGTATATATTTTTATTTTTAAATAATCTTAACTAACTACGAACTAACAAAAACAGACAAACAAAATAAAACTAAACAAAAGAAATAATTCAGAATGTAATACCGTGGAATCTCAGATACTTCATTTCCAACAATTCTAGATTCATACAAAAACTTCACGTATAATGTAATGTATAATATAATTTCTGGTATAAATACAAGTACACCACAATAAGCTATATGTAGTCCTGTAGATATGAGAATTACCATCAATACTACAGATAACACATTTATAATACGCATAATATTTAGTCCTATTAAAAATCCAATAAATGTATGATTTAGCTGATTCATTACACTATCTTCAAGTAATTCTTTGCAAAACAGTTTATCTTCTTCTTTATAAGTTCTAATAAGAATAATATTCCGCATATTGAGAAATTATATAAAATATATTGAATCAACCAAAGAAACACAATAAAATTTTTTGATCTTTGAAATACTGAAGTTCTACCTATATTGCGTAGAAAATTTTAAGCAACTGTGAAATTCTAATTATTGTCACAGTATATATATACGCTGAGGTCATGCATTGTAATACACATAATAGCGTATTGTTTATATGTTTATAACGTTGCTATTTGAAACGTAAATATTTTTAAATGAAAATTTTTAAACCCAAACAAATAGTACTATATAGAGATACGATATCCGGATATGTTTCCAATGAATTTTTTTATGAAAAAATGACTTAGTAACGTTGTTTTATATTTATATTAATATTATGATTAAGTACATTTCAAGTCATTTAAACACATTATAAGAATTATTAAAAAAGAAAGTAACAAATAAGAGTTTTCAAAGTTTTTTCTTCCCATCAGTTACGAATCCGAAATATTTGATTTTGTTTCTTCAGAGATCGTTGTTCAACAAATCTCTTCCAAAATATAAATAACTTCCGATGATATTTTTATCGCTAAAATTACTACTACTATTTATTGCTAATATACGATGATAATATGAATATGGTTTTATATAAATTTATATTTCGCCGGATATGATCTCGATATATAGGAACTATATACCTTCTTCATATATTACGAAATTATTAATATCTGAGAAATGTTACCGATATATCTTATGAATCGCAGTAATACTAGATAAATCTACGAGAATAACTAATTTCGTTCGGTGCACATCATAATTTGAACTAAATATTGTAAGAATAAAGAACTATAAAAATTTATTTCTTAAATACAGTCCACACGATTTTTCAATATTTATCTTATATCCATATCGAGAATAGTAACGCAACTATGTTTGAATCAAACAGCTAACCAGTATACGATAGATCAATCGAAATTTTATATTTTTTATTTTATAGAAAATTTTCTTTTTTACAGAATTCAAGAAAAATCTATTTTGAAATTCAGGTAATTTTTAAATGGAATGACACTGTAATGACAGAAATGGTAGTGCGTTTAACATAGTGGATAATAATCGTACCAACTGTTGATGATTTATGGAGATTATGAAATATAATAATTTCTTTTAGTAATTTAAACATAATCTATTAAAATTATTTCAAATCTATTAAAATTATGTTTTAGTATCTTTATTTTATTGTTTTTATGACCTATGTTTTAATTCAAAGTATTATTCATTTAACCCCTGTTCATTATTCTTGTTATGTATAATAATATTAAACAGCTTTAATTTATTTTTTTAAATCATTATATGCAATAAATACTGGATGTCAAATGCTATTTTATTAATAAACTATTTCAAATATTATTGATCTAAATCAAATCAAATGTAAACATAGGGAAGTAAAAAAACGGGAAAGTATTGATAACTTCCAATCATGTAAAAAATAGAATAACAGATTTTTCACAATATCTCTGCTCTCATATATTTTATAATAAGTTATAACATACATAAAATAAATAAATAAATATTATTCAAAAATTTGTTTTGAATATTTAGAGGGACAGTTAAATTTCTTGGCATAGATTGAACATTATCCGAATTTCTAATGATCCTAATGAGAATCACTTATTCGAAATATATATTCATACAGTGTAACTGATATTAAAAATGATTTATCATGTATAACATTTACAGACAAATTTTTCGTATTATAAAAATACATGATATGTTTTTGAAATTCAGAAACAATCGCTTTAATATATAAAATTCCATTTTCGTCTGCAAATTGCAGAGCTTGTTTCAAAAGATTACTTCCTATACCTTTCCTTGTATACTTTTTCTGAACATAAAATGTTTTTATCCAAGCAAGTCTAGGTTGCCAATTACTTTTACAGACTGACATAATACCTACAATTTTTTTATTATGATTAGAAAAATCAATATTACATACATTCATTTCTTCCTCTGTCATGAATACATATTGCTGATTTTGCACCTGATTATTTAATGAAAAATCTTCATATGCTTCCGCTATCCAAAAACAGGAAGAATTATCGAGCGTGTAAATCCTGTTTATAGAAATATATATTTTTATTTTAAAATCAAAAACTTATCTAACTACAAACAAACAAAACACACAAACAAAATAAAACTACACGAAAGAAATAATTCAGAATATAATACCGTGAAATCTCATCCGCTTCATTTCCAACAATTCTAGCTTCATATAAAAACTTTGCGTATAATGAAATATATAATATTATTTCTGGTATAAATATAACTATAATACAATAAATTTTATGTATTCCTGTATACATGAGAAGTGACATTAACACTATAGATAATATATTTACTATACGCATAATATTTAGTCCTAATAAAAATCCAATATATGTATGATTTAGCTGATTCATTACACTAGCTTCAAGTAATTTTTTGCAAAACAGTTTATCTTCGTCTCTATAAGTTCTAATAAGAATACATTTCTGCATATTGACAAATTATATAAAATATATTGAATCAAGCAAAGTAACACAATAAAATTTGTTGATCTTTGAAATACTTAAGTTCTACCTATATAGTGTATAAAATTTTAAGCAACTGTGAAATTCTAATTATTGTCATAGTATATATATATACACTGAGGTCATGCATTGTAATACACATAATAGCGTATTGTATGTATGTTTATAACGTTGCTATTTGAAACGTAAATATTTTTAAATGAAAATTTTTAAACCGAAAGAAATAGTACTATTTATAGAAACGATATCCGGACATATTATCAATGAATTTTTTTTTATGAAAAAATGACTTACTAACGTTGTTTATATTTATATTAATATTATGATTAAGTACATTTTAAGTCATTTAAAGACGATATAAGAGTTATCAAATAAGAAAATAACATACGAAATTTTTCGAAATTTTCAACTTTCACCAGTAGTAGATCAGAAATATTCAATGTTGTCTCTTCAGAGATCGTTGTTCAACAAATCTCTTCCAGAAAATAAATAACTTCCGATGATATTTTTATCGCTAAAATTACTACTGCTATTTATTGCTAATATACGATGATAATATGAATATGGTTTTATATAAATTTATATTTCGTGGGATATGATCTCGATAAATATATAAAAAAGGTATATAGGTTATAGGAAATTATTAATATTTAGAAATGTTACCGATATACTACATGAATCGCAGTAATACTAGATAAATCTACGAGAGCAACTAATTTCGTTCAGGGCACATCATAATTTGAACTAAATATTGTGAGAATAAAGAACTAAAAATTTATTTCTCTTTAAATACAGTCCACACAATTTTTCAATATTTATCTAATATACATAACGAGAACTATGTTTGAACGCAACTATGTTTGAATCAAACAGCTAAGCAGTACTCGAAAGATCAATCGAAATTTAATATTTTCTATTTCATAGAAAATTTTCTTTTTTACAGAATTCAAGGAAAATCTATTTTGAAATTCAGTTAATTTTTAAATAGAATGACACTGTAATGACAGAAATGGTAGTGCGTTTAACATAGTGAATAATAATCGTACCAACTGTTGATGATTTATGGGGATTATGAAATATAATAATTTCTTTTAGTAATTTAAACATAATCTATTAAAATTATTTCAAATCTATTAAAATTATATTTTAGTATCTTTATTTTATTGTTTATATGACCTATGTTTTAATTCAAAGCATTATTCATTTAACCCCTGTTCATTATTCTTGTTATGTATAATAATATTAAACAGCTTTAATTTATTTTTTTTAAATCATTATATGCAATAAATACTGGATGTCAAATGCTATTTTATTAATAAACTATTTCAAATATTATTGATCTAAATCAGATCAAATGTAAACATAGGGAAGTAAAGAAACATGAAAGTATTGATAACTTCCAATCATGTAAAAAATAGAATAACAAATTTTTCACAATATTTCTGCTCTTATATATTTTACAATAAGTTATAACATACATAAAATAAATAAATAAATATTATTCAAAAATTTGTTTTGAATATTTAGACGGACAGTTTTATTTTTTGGATTGAACATTACACTAATTTCTTTTGTTCTGAATGAGAATCCATTGTTCGAAATGTATATTCATACAGCGTAACTGATATAAAAAATGATTTATCTTGTATAATATTTACAGTGAAACTTTTAGTATTATAAAAACTAATAAGGTGTTTTTCAAATTGAGAAACAATCGCTTTAATACATAGAATTCCGTGTTCATAGGCAAAAAATTCTGTTTGATTCATAAGTTGAGTATCTATACCTTTCCCTATATATTTTTTCTGAACATAAAATCTTTTTATATAACCAAGTGTTGGTTCCCAATTACTTTTACAGACTGACATAATACCTACAATTTTTTTATTATGATTAGAAAAATCAATCTTACATACACTCATTTCTTCCTCTGTCATGAATATATATTGCTGATTTTGTTCCTGATTATTTAATGAAAAATCTTCATATGCTTCCGCTATCCAAAAACAGGAAGAATTATCGAGCGTGTAAATCCTGTTTATAGAAATATATATTTTTATTTTAAAATCATAAACTTATCTAACTACAAACAAACAAAACACATAAACAAAATAAAACTACACGAAAGAAATAATTCAGAATGTAATACCGTGGAATGTCAAATATTTCATATCCAGCCATTCTAGCTTCATAACAAAATTTTGTGTATAATGAAATATATAATATAATTGCTGGTATAAACATAATCATAATACAATAAATTTTATGTAATCCTGCATATATGAGTAGTGACATTAACAATATAGATAACATATTTACTAAACGCATAATATTTAGTCCTAATAAAATTCCAATATATGTATGATTTAGCTGATTCATTACACTATCTTCAAGTAATTTTTTGCAAAACAGTTTATCTTCGTCTCTATAAGTTCTGATAAGAATACATTTCTGCATATTGACAAATTATATAAAATATATTGAATCAACCAAAGGCACACAATAAAATTTTATGATCTTTGAAAAACTTAAATTCTGCCTATATAGTGTATAAAATTATAAGCAACTGTGAAATTGTAATTATTGTCACAGTATATATGTACACTGAGGTCATGCATTATAATACATATAATAGCGTATTGTTTATATGTTTATAACCTTTCTATCCGAAACGGAAATATTGTCAATTGAAAATTTTTAAACTGAAAGAAATAGTACTATTTAGAGAAACGATATCCGGACATGTTATCAATGAATTTTTTTTTATGAAAACATGACTTACTAACGTTTTATATTTATATTAATATTATGATTAAGTACATTTTAAGTCATTTAAAGACGATATAAGAGTTATCAAATAAGAAAGTAACATACGAAATTTTTCGAAATTTTCAACTTTCACCAGTAGTAGATCAGAAATATTCAATGTTATCACTTCAGAAATCGTTGTTTAACAAATCTCTTCCAAAATATAAATAACTTCCGATGATATTTTTATCGCTAAAATTACTACTGCTATTTATTGCTAATATACGATGATAATATGAATATGGTTTTATATAAATTTATATTTCGCAGGATATGACCTCGATAAATATATAAAAAAGTTATATAAATTATACGAAATTATTAATATCTTAGAAATGTTGCCGATATACCCTACAAATCACACTAATACCAGATAAATCTACAAGCGCAACTAATTTTGTTCGATGCACATCATAATATTAACTAAATGTAATGAGAATAAAGAACTATAAAAATTTATTTCTGTTTGAATACAATCTACACGATTTTTTAATACTTATCTATTACTCATATCGAGAATAGTAATGCAACTAGATTTGAATTAAACCGCTACACAGTACTCGATAGATCAATCGAAATTTAATATTTTCTATTTTATCGACAGAACTCAAGGAAAATCTATTTTGAAATTCAATTAATTTTTAAATAGAATGACATTGTAATGACAGAAATGATAAGGTTAAGATAGTGGATAATAATCATACCAACTGTTGATGATTTATGGGTATTATAAAATATAATAATTTCTTTTAGTAATTTAAACATAATCTACAGTTTCAAATATATTAAAATTATATTTTAGTATCTTTTTTTTATTGTTTATATGAGATAAGGTAGTTGATTTTTTAAGTTTTAATTCGAACAATTGTTCATTTAACCCCTGTTCATTATTCTTGTTATGTACAATAATATTGAGCAGCATAGATCCATTTTGTTTAAAATAATTATATGGCATAAATACTGAATGTCAAATGTTCTTCTATTAATATATTATTTTCAATATTGTCGACTTAAATTAGATCCAAATGTAAACATTGGGAAATAAAGGTACTGAAAAGTATTGATAGCTTATAAATATGTAAAAAAAATAGAATTACAGATTTTTTACAATATCTTTGCTCTTATATATTTTACAAACTGTTATAACATACAAAAAATAAATAAATAAATATTATTCACAAATTTGATTTGAATATTTAGACGGACAGTTTAATTTTTTGGCATAGATTGAACATTACGCGAATTTCTAACGATCCTATTGATAATTCTTTGTTCGAAATATATATTCATACAGCGTAATTGATACGAAAAATGATAATCTATCACGCAAAATAGTTACGTCATTAGTTTTTACATAATAAAAATACATATACCGTTTTTGAAATTGAGAAATCGTCGCTTTAACACATACAAATCCTTTTTCACCGGCAAATTGCAGAGCATGTTTCAAAAGAGTACTTCCTACACCTTTCCTTGTATACTTCTTCAGAACATAAAATCTTTTTATCCAGGCATGTGTTGGTTGCCAATTGCTTTGACAAAATAACAGAATACCTATAATTTTTTTATTATACTTAGATAAATCAATTTCAGATGCTCTCATTTCTTCCTCTGTCATGAATGTATATTGCTGATTTTGTTCCTGATTATTTAATGAAAAATCTTCATATAATTCCGCTATCCAAAAACGGGCAGAATTATTGAGCGTGTAAATCCTATTTGTAGAAATATATATTTTTATTTTAAAATCATAATCTTAACTAACTACAAACTAACAAAACGCACAAACAAAATAAAACTAAACGAAAGAAATAATTCAGAATGTAATACCGTGAAATGTCAAATATTTCATATCCAATCATTCTAGCATCATAACGAAATTTTGTGTACAATGAAATATATAATATAATTCCTGGTATACACATAACTATAATACAATAAATTATATGTAATTCTGCATACACGAGTAGACCCACTACCAGTATAGATAACACAAATACCATACGAATAATATTTAGTGCTAATATAAATCCAAAAAATGTATGATTTAGCTGAGACATTACACTAGCTTCAAGTAATCTTTTGCAAGACAGTTTATCTTGTTCTCTATAATTTCTAATAAGAATATATTTCTGCATATTGACAAATTATATAAAATATATTGAATCAACCAAAGGCACACAATAAAATTTTATGATCTTTGAAAAACTTAACTTCTATCTATATAGTGTATAAAATTTTAAGCAACTGTGAAATTGTAATTATTGTCACAGTATATATGTACACTGAGGTCATGCAATGTAGTACATATAATAGTGTATTGTTTATGAGTTTATAATCTATCCAAAATGAAAATATTTTCAATTGAGTTTTTAAATTGAAAAAAATAATATTATTTTGAGAGATGATATCCGGACATGTTTTCAATGAGTTTTCTTATGAAAAAATGATTTAATAATATTGTTTTATATTTACATTAATATTATGATTAAGTCATTTCAAAGACATTAGAGCACGTTATAAGAGTTATCAAAAAAGAAAGTAACATACAAAATTTTTCAAAATTTTCCTTTCACCAGTAATGGATCAGAACTATTCAATATTTTCTCCTCAGAAGTCGTTCTTGAAAAGATCTATTTCAGAACACTTCCGATGATATTTTTATCACTAAATCTTTTATTGTTATTTATTGCTAATATACGATTATAATATAAATATGACTTTATATAAATTTATATTTCGCAGCATATGATCTCAATAAATATACAAAAAAGTTATGTAGGTTATACGAAATTATTAATATCTTAGAAATGTTACCGATATACCCTATGAATCGCAGTAATACAAGATAAATCTACCAGCGCAACTAATTTCGTTCGCTGCACATCATAATATGAACTAAATACTGTGAGAATAAAGAACTATAAAAATTTATTTCTGGTTAGGTATAATCTACACGATACTGCAATATTTAGTTGTCATGCGTGTCAAGTAAATTAACGCAACTGAATTTTATTTAAACTATTTTGCAATATTTGATGGTTCAATCGAAATTATTATTTTTTATTTTATCGATAAAACTCATAGAAATTCTATTTATTAAATTAACTAATTTTTAAATAGACCAACTCTGTAATGCTAGAAACAATGATAGTCCGTTTACAATAATGGATAATAATCATAGCAATTATTGATGATTCATACGGATTACGAAATATAATAAGTTCTGATCCTAATTTAAACATTATCTACAATTTCTAATCCATTAAAATTGTTTTAATATTTTTTGTTAATTATTTTAATGGCCTTAGGTAGTGAATTTTTTAAAATTTTTATATCAAATGATTATAGATTTAACCTCTCTTTATTATTTCTCTCATGTATAATAATATTGTGCAGCTTTGAATCATTTTGTACAATATGATTCTATGCAATAAATACTGGATGTCAAATGCTATTCTATTAATAAATTATTTCAAATATTATTAACCTAAGTCAGATCAAATGTAAACATTGGGAAATAAAGAAATTGAAAAATACTAATAGTCTCTAAAGATGAAAAAAGAGAATTACGGATTTTTTACAATGTCTCTACTCATATATTTCACAAAGAGTTATAACATACAAAAAATAAATAAATAAATATTCTTAATAATTTTGATTTGAATATTTAGATGGACAGTTTAATTTTTTGGCATAGGTAGAACATTACACGAATTTCTAATAATGTGGATGATAATCCTTCATTTCGTATTTTAATTCATAAAACATTATAAATTTAAAAGATGGTTTACTATGTATATTCTGTATATGAAAACCTTTGTTACCAAATAATATTAGAGCTTTTATTACGTATTGAGAAATAAGTGCATTAATAGATTCATATCCTTGTTCATAGCCAAATTGTATAACTTGATTTATGAGATAACTTCCTATACCTTTCCTTCTATAGTCTTTATGAACACAATCTTTTTATCCAACCAGAATTCTGTATTCTATTACTTTTACAAAATCCAATAATACCTACACACTTTTTAGTATGGCCACTTGTTGAATAAGTAGATGTATTAAACTGTTCCCGTGTCATGAATATATATCTTGATTTTTGTTGACTTCGATCTAATAAATAATTATCATATGCTTCCACTATCCAAAAACAGGAAGAATTATCGGACTTATAAGTCCTGTTGATAAAAATATATTTTTTCATATTAAATTTATAATCTTAGCTAAAAAAAAAAGTAATAAAATCAGACAAACAAGATGTAACATAACAAAACAAAAAGAAATAATTGAGAACGTAATACTGTGAAATCGCAGATGTTTCATTTTCAACATTTCTAGTTTCATACCAAAACATTGCATATAAAAAAAATTTATAATACAATTGATGGAATTAATAAAATTATAATGCAATAAATAATAGGATATCCTACTACTATGAGCACAAACATAAACATTAAAACTAATGCATTAAAACATAATGATGTTATCATAGCAGGTTTATCATTTAAAATTCCAAGAAATGTTTCATTTAATGAATCCATTATACAAGTTTTAAGTAATTCTTTGCAAAACAAATTATCGAACGTAATATAAGATCGAATAACAATAAAACTAGACATATTGAGAAATTTTTAATTAATGTCATAATATATGTACACGCTGATGTCATGCATTGTAGTACACATAATAACGTATTGTTTATATGTTTATAACCTTTCTATCCGAAACGAAAATATTTTCAATTGAAAATTTTTAAGGAGAAAGAAATATTATTCAGAAAGATGATATCCAGATGATATCCGGAAATGATTTTAATGAATTTTCTTATGTAAAAATGATTTAATAACATTACATCATATTTATATTAATATTATGATTTAGTACACTTCGACTCATTTAAATACGTTATAAAATCTATCAAAAAAGAAAGTAATAAGATTTTTCAAAATTTTTATCTTACATCGGTTGCGGAATCGAAATATTCAATGTTATCTCTTCAGAGGGCGTTCTTGAACAGATCTTATGGCGACCTCGTTGCGACTGTTGCGCCTCTTCCGGTAAGACATATAACTAACCCGCCTCGGCGCCACCAAGCGCACACGTGGGAAACTAACCAAACAAAGCAAGAGACAGCAGACGCCGAAACATAGGAGACGACAAAAAACGCCAGGAACAAGAAATCATTCATTCTTTTCTTAATTCTTCTTGAGACCACAGCCATAGCAGTTGAAAATGATAGTCTGATTGAACTACTGTTCTTGTGTACTTGACTTCTACTTTATCAATAGAAGTCAAGATAGTTAAATTTTGTAATTTATAGACTTCGCTATGTACGATACTATGACGCCAGGTGATGAATTTACAGCTTAGATAACAAATAATCATGAAGAACACATTTCCCACATTTATCACTTCTGTTAAATTTGTAAAACTTTTTTGTTTTTATCCCTGAATGAATTACCGTAGCTTATATATATATATATATATATATATATATATACACATAAACGAACACCAACTATTTATATCGCTATTTATCTAAATAATATAAAATCATTATTTTTTATTTACTAGAAGGTATAATTTATTAAATAGGGTATATACATATATTAAATAAAGTTTATTTTTTAATTTGTATTTCATCAATTTCTTGGTAATTAATTTGATGGTCATTTTTCGAGCTATATAAACAAAGCAATTTACATAAATACATATATGTACAAGTGGCCACCGAAGATCGATACCAAGATATTATTGGCACACTAATTCAGATGTTTAATAGATATTTACCAAGAATTCATTTCATTCATTTTTAGATCATTCAATCAATTGTTAGAACTAAATTGGCAGTATGTCTTCTACATTGAACATAAAATATTTCAGATTGATTTTTTCTTTTTAAAGACACTCAGATGATAGTCCTTAATCTTTTACGTGCATTTATCATAGCAACATTGATGACATTAATCAAAAAAAGCATGTATCACTAAATTAGTGATTAGCTTTTCAGGATATAATGTTGCTTCACGTAATAATGTATTTCTGTAAAAAGATTCCATTTCTAAAAATCGCTTTTAGATCGTAAAAAATGATCAGTCTATCGAAAATGCATAATTAAAAACTCAATATATAATATACATAAAAATACATTGGACATGTATCACCTTTCACTTCTGAATGAAGACGCTTGTTGAGACTTACTACAAAAGCATGGATGTTGGATTTTCCATGAAGTTTTTAAAGGCTGAAAGCCACTGTGCACCTACCGCACCATCTACTGTGCGATGGTCACAGCTAGCTGTTACAGATATATATTGGGCAGTTATGAATCTATAATCACGAAATAAAATTTGAATTAATTTTTACATTTAGAGTTTAAACTAATTGAAAATATTTATATAAAAATGAGAACATACCCTTTTTCATTCTTTGCAGGTATTAATCTTACTTCCGTTGAACCTACTGCAAGAATAATAGATTGAGGTGGGTTTATAATAGCAGAAAAGTTTTTAATGCCAAACATTCCCAAATTCGAAACAGTTATTGTGCCTCCTTGAAATTCTTGTGGCTGCAGCTTTCCCTCCCTTGCTTTGGCTGCTAATGCCTTCACATCTTTGCTAATTTCGACAATACCTTTTGTATCGGCACTAAATACTATAGGTGTAATTAAACCAGATTCTGTGCTTACTGCTACACTTACATCTACATTATTATACCTATAAAACAAAATTAAAGAAAAAAAAAAAAAAAAAAAAGAAAAACATTAAAATATTGATCTTACTGTGAAAAAAGGGAGAGAAGAAGGAGACAAAATAAAATCAGAAATCTTACTGTCTTATAACATCTCCCATCCAAGCACTATTACCTTCGGGTACTTTTTTACAAGCCATTGCCATCCCTTTTATAATAATATCATTTACGCTTACTTTTATTTTCTCTTTTTCTAACATCTTATTAAATTGCTCTCGCATTGCTAATGCTGCGTCCATTTTTATATCTATTGATAGGTAATAATGAGGAATACTTCTTTTGCTTTCAAGTAGACGTTTTGCTATAACTGCCCGTATATTTGAAACAGGGACATCGATGCCATCTGCGACATCAACTCCTTTCGCTGGTACAGTTGGTTTTGCAGCAACTGGAGCACCTTCGAGATCTTTAGATGTTATGGAACTGTATAAACCTGTACCTTTTAGGCCCTATAAGAAAAAATCACTTTTTTTTCCATTCCTTCTTAACATCTAAGAAAAAATATTCATTATATTTTAATGTAAAAAATTATTTAACAATGTAAGATTACCTCTAAACTAAGTCCTTTTTCTGCAGCAATTCTTTTAGCTAATGGACTGGCATATACCCTTTCTCCTGGTGTGATTTTCGTAGGTGGAAGTGCAACTGCAGGTGTTGGTGCAGCAGGCGTTGGTGCAGCAGGTGTTGGTGGAGCAGGCGCAGCAGGTGCTGATGGTGTAATAGGTGCTGCTACTGTATCATCTTTAAAGTCTTTAAAAGCAGGAACTGATTCTTCATTTGGAACAATGATGCAAACAAGTTTGCCTATCGGAACATTTTTTGATCCAGCAGGTACAAGTATTTTAGCTAAATAACCTTCTTCTGGTGTTTCAAATCCCATTGTTGCTTTATCTGTTTCAATTTCTGCTAATAAATCACCTTCATTTAATTTATCTCCTGTTAATAATAAAATAAGATGATATTATTATAGTGTTAGAAAATCATATATTATAAATTTAATTTATTAAGTAATTTCTTCAATATACATACCTTCTTTTTTTTGCCAACTTACAATAGTGCCCGTTTCCATAGTAGGAGAAAGTGCAGGTAATTGTACTTTAACATGGTCAGGAAAGTCTGCATAAAACCGTAATTGCTGCTGCCATGGTATCACCGTAAAACGTAAACTATCGTGGACCTGAATCCTGAATACCAAGCAAGAAAGCAGTGATATACTCTAAAAAATGTTAAGAATCATGTGACGATATAATGTGATATCAAATGTTTCAATTAACATATCAGTATATCTGTTAATTAGTGATAAATAAAATTCAAAATAAATAATAGTTCATATAAGATTATACAATTTTAATGAAAATAAATATATACATACATTAAGAAAAGAAATGAAAAGATGTTAACTTATAATGAAAATTTATATATAGTATATTCTGTATCATAAATTAAAATCATGTAGATCTTTATATAGATTTGAATAAATTGAATGGTAGAAATGAAATACTAATAAAATATAACTTTAAATGAAAATCGAATGAACGATGAGAGCAAAATTTTAATGAAATAATAATTAATAGAAAAATTAGCAATATGTATACCTTTGTAAATATTTTCTGTGAAGACATCTAATGATCACGGTTCTAACGATGTTAGTGCCCACACCACTTCGAAGTATCGTGCGTGCCAAATCATTACGTAGCCTCGCCGTGGTACGTATCATATCTTGATCTCTTTAACAATATCTATTCGCACTACCGAATTGAAATAGTTAAAGTTTATCAAAAAAGATTTTTTTCAGATTGTATAGTTACCCAAAAATTGTCCACGAGCACTTCGAAATATATTTCAGAATATAATAAAGGAGGACCAAATGACGGATACGTTTGTGCCAAATTAGAGGTCGTTCGCAAGGTCACGTGATTTCAACCATGAAATTTATTCTCATTCAATACGGGTAGTGTCGATGACTCTGACACTTTACCTTATAAAGCTTTACAGCGCCGTCTTTGCTAAACTTAAAAAACATTCATTTATGAAATTTAAAAAATATATTCATGAGAGATGTTAAAGAAAAACAAATTCGCAAGTTCATATGAGCTTACATTTATAAGTTTTAATTGAAGTTTGATAAAAAAAAACTTTTTTTATTATACTACTTTATATCCACATAAACTTTATTAATATGTCAGTGTAGTTTTTCATTAAGTAAAAAGCATTAATAATATAATGAATATAGAAAATATACAGAAAAGAAATATAATTAAGTCAAAACAAAAAAAATAAAAATTAGAATAAATTAATTGGATTTAAGAATAATATGACTGTATATCGATACTTTGCGATTATCGATAATCACATTTGCATCCATTTCGATACTATATCATACCTTATCTGAAATCGTATCATTGTAGGTTATATTACAAATAATTTAAAAATAAGATTTATAAAGAACTATGTACATTTCGAATTGAATTTTGAAATTATTATATACATTAATATCAAAAGTTATCTTAATTATTATGTCAATTTTACGAAGAGCACAGGTTTGCTTTTTAAAATATTTATTATTTTTAAATTAATAATATAACATTAATCATTTTATATTATTTAATAAAGTTAATAAATTTTTTAGCAATGGAACACTTTTTCAACTATTTGGCATATATATGATGCAAAATGGCAAGATCCCTATCTAAGTGCAGAAAAAATAAAGCTTTATCTTATGGGTATACATAAGCCAATATATCATCCATTGAGTAAGTTTAATATTATAATACTTAAGTATATATTGATAATTCAAAAATATCTAATTTATAAAATGACGATCTTTCATATAGATTATTGTGGTGATCATGTGATCGTAATAAATAGTAAAGATATAGCTTTACGAGGAGACGAGTGGCGAAAACGTGTGTATTTCCATCATAACACATATATCGGTGGTGCTTCTTGGACTCTTGCTTGGGAACTTCATAATAAAAATCCAACTTTGGTAATTAATGAATACATATTATATCTTAACATGATCTATCTTATATTTATAGACTTTATTAACAAGATAATTTATTTTTAATTTATATTATCCTTATGTAGATAGTAACTAAAGCAGTGTATCGTGCATTGAAAGGAAATTTACAAAGAAGACACACGATGCAAAGATTACATGTTTTCCCAGATGAAAATGTTCCAGAAGAAATGCTTAAGAATGTTTGTAATCAGATTAAGCAATTAAGACCAGTTCCAGTTAGATTAGATCATATTCCCAAAGAAGAAGTAGAACAATTTCCAAAATTGTTAACTTATCCTGAAGATTATATTCTTAAGTGATTTATAAATTGTAAATAAAATTATTATTATAATACAACATTATTGTGTGAATATTTAAACATAAACAGTAAAAATGTAAAAACACTATATACATGTTTGTTTTATATATATGTATATATATATATATATAATTAAATGGTTCCATTATATTGTAGATTTTGCATGAAATAAAATTATTTCGATATTTCAAATAAATATTTGTGAACTAGATGGAGCCTCAGTGCAAACGAAAATAGAGGGCAGTACATAGGATATCCAATCTTACAACACCGGATAAGTGATCTGTATAACAGTCTACGTGTATACTATCTTTGTCGATCCAATTTCTTACAATTGTCAGATTACTGTCATTTTACCATTATAAGTGCATTTTAATAATAACTATCATTTTTATAAGTACAGAATCATTTCTATTGTACAAGCTTTACATAATTTGTCATAATGGCGGATTCTAAATACTCTGATTTACCTGGAATTGTATGTATTTTATACATTTTATACTTTTATAGATAGTATTTCTATAAAGATCACAAATATATAGTTGTTTTGAATATTTTATATCAGTGTATTTTTATTTTCTTGTGTAATTTTACTAAGATACATAAATTGTTAATAATTAATGATATATTACAGGCATATGATCAAGTTGACGTTTATGAAACAACTGATTTACCAGAGTCAGAACAATTTGAAATTTACTCAGAGGTAAAATAATTATGATGCTGTATAATATATTTTTATATTATGAAACTTAATTTTTTATGTCTCCAGGATGAATCAGATTCCATAGAAAAGTTACATATAAATGCTAGAGAAGCTTTTAGTAAATTTAGAACCAAGACAGTAGGAGACACCAAAGTTGATTTTTCAGATTCTATTTCGCGTAAATCAAGAACAGGTTACAAGTTGGTATTCAACTTACTAAATATTTTTATGTTTAAACTATCATATGAATATATTATATAATTAAGTAATTTTTTATTTTTATTAAATATAGGTTTAGAGATTATGAACTTCCAGGTGAAGATGAAAAAGAAACTCCTATACAAAAATATCAACGCTTGCAATGCGAAGTGAAAGAATTGTATGAAGAAATAAATGCATTGAAGGTAGTATGATGTTACAAATGTTTTTTTCTTTTTTTGTATTTAATAGTTTTATAACATGCGAGTATATTTTGCTTTCTTAGGAAAATGCAAAAGAAGAAAATGAGGAAGTCAAATCTGCAATAGATATAATATCTCAAGTAGAGCAATTAGGAAAAGAAATAAATGATCTAAAATTAGAAGAATCTCTTGGTTCTGGTCTTATGGAATTGCTTTCAGATCCTCAAGGAGCTAGATTGAAGTATATTTTGTATTCTTAATAAGTGATTGGTATGTAGTTCTTATATAATTGATTGTTTTAGGCAACTGATATCACAAATAGAAGTATTTAGAAACACTGGCATTCCCAAATCAGAAACAGAAATAAAACCAGAGATTACAGAGACAAAAGAAACATCGCCGTCTGGTGTTTTGGAGTACAAAATGATGTATCTTCCAGAAAAAGCTAAAATGCAAGAAATTGCAAGAATCGTGCAATTAGAACAAAGATTATGTTGTCTTGAAAGTGTCATTGGTACATCTAATGAAAATTTTTCTGTTTTTTCACGGGTAATGATAACATTTCGAAGTAATTTATATCTTTCCATTTTTTATTGATTGTGAAAATAATTCTGTACCATCTTACACTTTATAGAATTTGAAATGTCAAGGTATAATGGATGCAGTACAGCAACTAAGTGCAAAAGCTGCACTTTTAGATACTAGTCAGTTGGATGCCATTGAAAGTAGATTATCCGCTTTGATTTACAGGATTGATACTATTGCTCAGAAGAAATCTACTTTGACTCCTGATTCAGAATTAAAACAAAAGGTTTCATATAAGTTATTAGTGAACTATAGAAATTAGATGAAGTTAAGTAATTAATTATTTTTTCATAACAGATCGAAGAAATGTATAAAATAGTGAAAAAGACAGAAAGTATGTCAGATATTTTACCTCTAACTATAAATCGAATGACATCTTTGAGTACTATACATGAACAAGGTCGGTCCAAATATTATACTATACAATGAAGTATAAATATATAAAAATATTCTATTATTATTAAATGAAAGATGATATATATTGTCTTGTATTATAATTGTTATAATTTCTTTTTTAATAGCCGCGAACTACAGTAAGGCAATGAAACAGTTTGAAGATCTACAGAAACAAAATACTCAATTTATGGACAGCAATAAATGTTTACTCGCGGGTGTACAAGAAAGTTTTGCATCAAATTTAGAAGTTATAAAAAATAATATAACGTCGCTTTCTGAACGCGTTGCAAAGCTTGATAAGTAATCAATAGCAGCTAATTAATTAATCATTTTATTGAAATTATTAACGTTTTTATATTTATTTATTAAAACTATAAGATAGTAAAAATTGTACTATGTATTAATGTAAAATAAATTATATTCCTTAAATTAACTGTTCAAGCAATTTTAAATATTAAAAATGATTTTGTTTCAAATATTTCAATCAATATTTTGATAAGGAGTATCAAAGTTTGAATGTTATAATAAGAAAAAATTGGACACACCATATATTTTGAATATAAGTATTTATTTGAAAAGATTAGAATCTTAATTTTTGGAAGAACCATTTATTTTTGCCAGATTTGTACCTGTGAAAAAAATACAAGAATTATTACATTGCAATTAATATTTTTATTGAATGAATCTTGATCTTATAGTAAAATTAACAAATAGAAGTTTACATACCTTTCTTCAAATTTAACACGGATTTGAAATCTTGCCTTCTTTCGTTTCATCGGATCCTTAAGATCTTTAGGAGCTACTTTATCTAACTGTAGTTCTGGTACTGTATATCTTGTAGGCATTAAATGATTATAATTTAAAACCTAAAACAATAATAGTAATATAAATAAGAAAATATAAAGTGATAAAAAAAATATTGAATGTCCCATTCAACTTACTTTTACAAAAGGCTTAATCTTAGAACGTTTGTGTAATTTTCCTTTTCCCATTCTTTTATGGACTTTGCGTGGGTATCTATCGATACCAGCAACCATAGCATGTCCATACTGCTTGTCTGTAGTACCATCATCAAAAGTACGCATTACAATAGCTTTTCTTCCAGCATACCGGCCACTAAGGACCAGTACGACTTTACCACTTTTCATAATCTTCACCATTTTGAATGGTGTCCTGTAATAAAAATATTCCTTTCAATATTATTCAACAGTTACAAGATACATCACAAATTGCTTTATATATTTAGAGGTTATTTTTGATTAATGTTTTCCCCTAATCACATGACACATTTCTTCAAAAATTTAATATTTAACGCTGTCATACTCATAAGAATAACAATCTTCTATTTTTGCATATAACAATATAAAACAAAAATAAAAGTGACATATGAAGATACAATGCTTTTATAATTGAACCTTACAATAGTTCATAGAGACAAAAATAATAGTCAATTCATTTCTCAAATCGAAGAAAAATATTTCATAATCAAAATTACGTTATCAATATTAGTATAATGATTTATAAATAAACGATGTTCTCAGATTCTACCGGACAATAATTATTAACGAACCTCCGTCTTTTCCAGGTTGAAAAAATGGAAAATAGAAACTGCCTTCGTCGAAACCAGGAGGAAAGAGAGATATAGATGCCTAACTGGGACTTCTAAGTGTGCGATATGTACTTTCTCGTTTCTAACTATATTCTCATTGGTGATCGCTTTTCAATGCTTGGGACGATTGTCCAATAGAAATGAAGGATTAAAATTGTAAATAGATCATAGAATTAAATACACGAAGTAATATTACATTTGTGAAGTCGATATATTCTGTAGAGGGTTTTACTCGACTAACGTCCATGTGTCTGATGTATAGAGTTTATGCATTTTGCAGTGATTATAATATAACCTGAATCTGATTTTTCGTACAGCTACATTATTTACAACTTTTCAATAATTACATTTAAAATAAAGTAAGCAGTGAAGATAACTAAAGTATACACTTAAATTATGATATTAATGATTTTAAAAACACATATAAATAATATTTTATCATTTGATTATAAATTGTGTCATAAGTGCATCACTACTATACACTTCCATTCCAAAATTTGTGACAGTGCTCAGGTAAAATAATAAATAGTATTAAATGTATAATTAAAAATAATAAATTAAAAAGTGGATATTTATAAATATAAATTAGATTTTTAATATACACATCTTTTTCTGATAGTTTGATTTTTGAGTGAATTTAAAAATTTTTTAGACTAAATACGCTAAATGAGTAACGTGAAGAATCTACTTGATGATCAAGATCCTGACTACACAATTCCAATATCTACTAATAAAAATCAAGAAGAAGTTTGTGAGGAAAATGGTAAGATCAAATTTTAAAAAATTCTGATACTATTAATGAATAGACTGAATTTATATTAAAATTTGTTATTGATTAGCTCGTTCAACAGCAAGAAAAATAACTGCAATTATTGAAAAGGAATTTTCACAAGAAATAGATGCAAAAAGAAATGAAGTTTTACAAATTCAAGAAAGATTACATAAGGCATTGAAGACTCTACATTTATTGCGATACGTTATCATTACTGATTTCTATAATCGTAAACAATGTCAAGCCTCTCAAATTCGAGAAACGCAACAAGTTCGTATTCATCCAGCAATTAAACAATTGATTGGAAAAAGTCCCAAACGGCCACATAATGATTTTGCTATACCATCTACATCCACGGATCCGCGATTTTTAAATGGATATTCATATCTTTCATCTACGAAAACAAAAACAACTGAGCATAATGTTTTAAAGACTGAGAATATAACAGAATCCTCAAAGGAATGTAATACAAGTATGCAGTTTGAAGATCAAAGTGAAGATGATATTCAACCACCAAAAAAAATTCCACGTTATATACCACCAAAAAGTGGAGTACCAGAACCTGCATGTC